TTCAACTATTTTACTTAAGACTAGATAATTAAGAGAGGAAAAGGATCAACTATATAAATAGCTAGCTTACCTTTCCCTTTATTATACTAAGTCCTAATCCCTACTATATATAAAGGCCCTTATTAATTAAATAAAGTAGACTAGAATATATTATTCGATCTCGCGACTAAGAAAGTAAATAAGTTTAAAATCTTTCATACCGAATTACTTACGCGTACCGGGTGTATAGACAACTATAAAGCCTATTATTAAAATATAATTAAGGCAGTAAAAGTTATAGCCTTAAAATACCTAGCTAATAATAAGATATACGAAGGAGAGACTAGGTATATTAGTGCCTTATTAGCTTAAGCCTACCTTCATATAAAGTAAGAAATATTATAAGGATAATAATATCGCGCAGGTATATACTACGAAGGTAACTACCTAGACACTAAGTATAAGAGATACTTTACTAAAGAAAATAGTAAGGAATACTTAAAGGCACCCTCCTTTATATATTATATCCTAAACACTATATTCGAAGTAAAGAAAGGTAAGTTAAATATTAAGAATAAGAAGGAACTTACTATATTATTTCTAGAATTTAAATACGATCTTCTACGTACCTAAATCTCCTTAAATACACTAGGAAAGTTACTATCTGCCTTAGTAAGTCCGAAAGAACTATATATAGATAGAAAGTTATAGAATATATAAGTAGGAAATTATAATTAAGATAAAGATAGAACTTTTAAATAAATCGTTATTATATTATTCGTAAACTTTACTAACTACTAAGTAAAGGTATCTTAGTTTATAATCTTATTCGAAAAGAATAGAGTCTACCTAGAAGGATTCACCTATCTAGTAGGATTATAGACTTAGCTAAAAATTATAGTAAATATCTCTATATATACTCCGTATAAGAAATACAACTAAGAGGGTAATAGTAGTAAGATAATAACTAAAGATATAAAAAAAGAGCAGAGTATTATCTAGAATAGATTCAATAGCCTTAAGTAGTAAAGACTAGGACTAGAAAATATTTAACTATATTACTTTATATTAGATATTCTAGAAGTATTAGCTAGTAAGAAGTACTTACCCGAAGTAGAACTAAGACTATTACTAAACTTAGATATAAAACTATCTAAATAATTATATACTCTTTTCTTAAGTAAAAGAAAACTTTCTATTAATATAACTAACTAAGTAATAAAGCTAGTAAAGAAAGTAAAAGAAAGAGATAAAGGAAATAAAGGAAGTAGAATAGAGATTAATCTACTAAGTAATACGACTCCTAAAGTCCCTTAATTATAAGCTAAGTACCCTCAGAGAAAACCCCTTAAGAATAAGGAAAAAGCTCGTAATACCCTATTTAACTAAGTAGATATAATAACTATTAAGCACTTAATAGCTTAATAGTAAAGCGAAGTTAGTATTAAGTTCTTTTATCTATTAAAAGATATACTAAAGATTAGTTTCTTACTTATTCGATCTGAAAACCTTCTAGAAATAAAAAGCTATAAATAGGACTTAATAGTTAATAAAAAATTCAACTTACGTAATTACGACTTAATAATAAAGACTAATAAGTACTACTAGCAGATCTAACGAGCTTATAAGAGAGGGTTATACCTAGTTAGATAAGCTAAGGACTATAACTTTAAGAAATCCTTATACCTTTACGTAAGACTAGTTAAGATAGTTATAGATTTATTAACCTTATAAGAGGATAGCCTAACCTCTAGTTATCTAGATTACATAGACTTTATAATAGAAAATAATATAAAGTATAAATATATAAAAAGCTATATATACCTTAATAATAGCGCCCTAAGTATATACTTAGCTTAGTTCAACTTAGTTAAGATCGATACTAGTACTTTATATAATATCCTAATCTAAGAAGCATAAGTAAATAAAACTAATTTCTATATAGTAAAGAAACACCTAGTAGAATTAGAAGATCGCGAGATTTAAAAATAAGGAGTAGCTTAATAAACCCGGAAAGAATAAAATACTACTAAATAAGGAAAACAACTAGTAGAGTATAGCTAAATCCCTATATTTAGTAATACTATTAAACTATCTACTTTAGAGGAATTAGAAGTATACTATCTAAAGAAGTATTCTAAGATAAACTAAGTTTAATAGAGATAATTCACTAAAGATAATACTATTAAAAAGACCTTTAAGATACTACCTATAGTACGAAATCTATATATTCCGAGTATAGTAAAGAACTAAGTTAAGGAAAAGTAAAACAAAAGAGGGCAGACTCCTTAGTCTAATAAAGTAAGTAAGAAGGAGATCCCCCTTTAGCTAAGAGTTAATTAGTAGACTAATATAATTACTAATAATAAGGACGGAGGCTTCTAATAGATCGTAGATACTAAGTCCCGTACTATTAATAAAGTTAATATAGTATACTTAGTAATACTTAACAAAGCCCTACCTAAAGAAGATAATACCTTATTAGCAGAACTTTCTACTTACTTACTCTTAGTATAAGGTCTAAGTTAGTTCTAAGAATTAAAGCTAGATTAATTTATTAATAAATATCTTACTAAGATAATTAATAAGGTATTAAAGACAGTTAATATACCTAAAGTTAACTAGCCTAAAAAGTTCTCAGATAAAGTATAATAACTAAGTAGCTTATTTAGAACTCTAGCTTAACTATTTCCGCTTAACCTAAATCCTAAGATAATATATAACTTAGAAAGTTATACTTAGTAGATAAAAGATAACCTAAGATAATTCTAATTCTTTTACTATAAGTAGGACTAGTATAGTATATATAAAGGAACTAAGAGCTATAAGAATCCGGACATAAGAGATAAAGAAGTACTAGTAGTATATAAAGTCTCTTAAGCCTTAAGAGAGATATTAGACTAAGTATCAGAATTATCTAAGGATATAGATTCTTAGATAGCTAAGGATACTAACTTAAATCTTAACTCTAATTACTATCAGTGTAAGAACAGGATCCTTAAAAGAGCTAGATTTAAAACTATTATTAACTTAGATTTAAGTACCTTATTAGAAAATAAAGACACGCTTAATAAGATTAACTTACATATAGCTAAGTTTAGCTCGATATTTAATAACAGAGAATATACTTTACTATATAAAAACCTAGTAGTATTATATAACTACTTAAAGAACAGAGATATCCCTACCTATAAGTAATTAATAAAAAAGGATATTCATACCTAGTTATACTAACTTTTTCTCCTTATTAAAGAAGTTACTAAAAGATAATTTAAGCTAAGAACGTCCTAAGTCGAAAGTTATAATAAAGTAATAAGAATTATTAAGAAGAAAGTTAGATATAAAGAAGAAGATCTACGAGTTAGACTATAAAGAGATACTTTCTACTTATAGTTTATAGCTATAGGACTCCGGATAGTATCGAAGCTATAAGAAGATAACTTATCTTACTTTACCTAAGTAGAAGTAAAAGACTAACTATAGATCTACCTCTATTAAGCTTATACGACCTTAGTTAAAAGAATACTAAGAGAGACCTTAGTAATCTACTACCCCCCGGAAGTAACCTAGTCACTAAATAGCAGATTATTACTTTTTACTTATAATAATAAGGCTTAACCTTATAAGTATATTACTACTATAATAAAAGCTAGATATAAGGTATTTAAGTCCTTAGGACAAATCCTAAGTATTAAGGGCAACTTCTCCCTGATATAGCTAGAGGCACTACATCTTACTAATAAGGCACTTACGAAAATACTTATAAATACACCTATAAAGACCTTAATACCTAAGATATCACCTAAGGGAAATTTAAACTAACTTAGTATTTTAGAAGGATATAATATAAAAGTAAAATCCTAGTTCGAATTAGAAAAAGAAGTTAATAAAGAGATTAATAGTACCGCCTAATCCCTAGGTACTATTTATTAAACTAACACAGATAATAATAACTAGAGAAATACCTTATTACCTAGTATTACTACTACTAAGACCGCTAGATTAGAAGTATCTAATAAATAGGGGATAATACTAAAATTAGAGAAAATAGCGAATTTAGCACTTACACGAAAATTACGTTTATTATAGATTAAGGATATAAGAAACCTAGTAATAAGAGTTACTAATTAAAACACTAATTAATATATAATAATAAAAATCTTTATTACTAGAGTAAATCGAAGACTACTAGGTTATATTAGAAGATAAGAGTAAAACTAATATAAGGTTATTATATTTGTTTTACTAAGACGATCTAACAGGAGAATAAAGTAGCTACGTGATAAGAGAGAAGAGCTTACTACTTTCAGCTTAGCTTATAACACTTACGTACTAACCCTACTTAAGTAGTCTCCTTTACTCTAGAATATAAACATAGAACGTAACCTTTTCCACTCTAAATATACCTCTCTTATAGAATTCTACCTAGTTCTTATTACGTAGTACAGAGTAGAAGTCTATATTAAAGAAGCCTCACTATCTAGAACGTTCTCAATACGTAGAGAGAATGGTCCTGTGTACATGTAGCTTAATATAGCCGAATCGATGTGGCCGTACTAGAAGGAGATTTGAAGCAAGGATGTTAATCTTGCAAAGTGCTATACTATATACATTATTACTTCGATTCACTGCTCTGTACTTATAGAGAGAGTTAAATAACTATAAATGACTTTGTAGCTCGACTGCTGTTGCTCTGTTTAAGATTTTGAAATACTCTACACGTTTTCTTGCCCGCTTGCTCAAGGTCTCCCAAGCCAAGCATGCAGTCAATGTAGTTTTGTCATTCACACTGTAGTTGAATCCCCAATCGTAATCCTATGCCGATGAGAGACAAGGGATGTGGAGAACAATGCTACGTAGAATTTACCTAACTCTTCAAAGATTCCACGGCGCTCTTGCGACGGCTTCGACTGGTTTCACATCTATGATGATGGACATACCACATCACTTAAGACCTGTTGGCAAACACTCAAGAAGGTCGATGCGATAATTAATTTTCACGTCACGATTCATTTGTATATACAGGTATGATCGTGGAAGCAGTAACGTTGTTTGAAATTTTTGGAAGTCATGTACAGACAAAGAAGATAAGGTAGCGAGCTAGCTCCAGCCAAGAGCACATCTCGAAAACCATAAAAGTAGACGACGACTCGCATGCATGCAAATCAAAAGCCAAAGCGAAAGCCTATGTTCCGTAGGGTGGTATTGATCAAATCAAAATAAGCACCAACCAAGCCAAGTCCGTAACGCCATAAACCATTCCATCATATACACACGTCCAGGTATCATCCATCATCAACATCATCAAACTACTCCTCGTCGGCACGTAGGACTGGGTACAGGCTCTCTGAACTCTTCTCCTCTTGCTTGACCTCTGCACTCTCAGCACCCTCGGTACCGCTCATCGAGACATCTTCCTCATCAACGTACTCACGACGCTCAAGCTTATCTTGGATGAGCTTGCGAAGTGCCTCAACTACGCGGATATTCTCGATCCAGGCTTCCTCGGCGCGGTCCTTAGCAGATTCACCGCTCTCGGACTGGGCGCTTGGAGAAGTGACACCGGAGAGAGCAGGATCGATATTGCTGGAAACAACGGAGGTACGAATGGTTGGTGTCATTTCCTTTGGTGATGGGGTTGAATCGTTGTCTGAAGTATCCATCATCTCTGACTTGGGCACAGCACTGCGTTGAAGCATGCCACCAGAGTAACGACGGCGAGGGTCACTATCAAAGTTTGGTCCCAGGGTAGAGGTAGGAGCGGTGGTAGAGTGTGGCGAGTATCCGATTGAGACAGCTGGCAGGCTCGGGTAGGCTGCTGAGGTTGAACTGTGTCTGGAGGTAGGAGACATGCCGTGAGAGGACACAGGAGAGTGGCCTGACGTGTAAGAGACAGAGCTTGATGGTGGAGTCAATGCCGGGGTGCCAGATGAGGTGGATTGAGATGAATGGGTAGCCATCATGGGAGCAGTGACGTGAGACGAGGACACATGAGAACCCATGTGGCCAAGACCGTGCAGAGCAGTCTGAGGAGGAGAGTGGCTTTGACGGAAGTTAACCCCAGAGTGAGTGTAGTGAGTACCTGGTTGCTGGATTCCGGCTGCAGCTGCGGCATTGGAGTTCTCATAGACGGTTGATTGCATCTGCTCCAAGAATTGGTCGATGTTCATCAAATCATTCTTGGTTCTCAAGTTGGGCAAGGGCAGGGCGTATTGGTGTTGTGGCATTGGACCGCCGTGACCTCCGTGATGACCATCAACGGGGACCATAGAGGGAGCATGCATGTAGTCTGCGATGCCACCACCGTGGATTGGGAGTCCGGCGAGAGCCATCAAGCGCTGGCCAACTTGGGCATAGGAAGTAGGGTCGATTTGACGGCGCTTGGCATCACCGAAGAACTCGTTCAAGGCATCGTAATTTCGCTTTCGGTTGTCATAAGCTGCATGCTGGCCGATGTCACCTCCATGGCTGACGGGATAGTAAACTGGACCGTAGGAAGCTGGCTGTTGAGGAGCGTAATAGCCATTATGGGCGGGGTGGTGGCCGTAACTGGCAGGGCCGGGATGCATCTGGGCACCATGGTGATCATAGTAGCCTCCGGCGGTAGCTGCAAGGTTTTGCAGGTCAGCAATCACTACTTCCTACGTCAGATGTGGGCATGTTGGGGGAACAACCATTGATGTTGCTCTACATACCTTTACCACCCTGCCTGTATCCAGAGCTTTGACCTGCATGACCGTGCTGTTCAGGGGAGCGAAGGAGAACGGAGTCGTCGGCATGTGTCTGTCAGGTGATTAGCATGTGATTAAGAGAGAGAAAGTCATCAAACGCCCAAGGACAACCTGTGCGATCGAAGGTTTGGGTACGTACCTTGACATGCTTCTTCAAATCCTGCGGGCGCTTGAAGGCTTTGCCACAGAAGTCACATTTGTGAGGCTTGAGAGGGACATGCACTCGGATGTGAGAGGTGATGTGGTCACGCTTCACAGTAGTGGTGCGGCACTGATTCCAACCACATGTGAGGTTGAGGTTGTTTGTGCTTTTCCGACCAACATGCTTCTCACATATATGCTCCTAACGGAGAGTTAGCTTGTGTTGGAAGGAAGCGGCAAAATAGATAGAATACTTACAAAAAGAGCTTCAGCCGAAGGGCATCGCTCAGAGCACTTGTCCCACTGGCAGGACAAGTTATCGTCAGCGGCGATGGCTGGACGAGGAGCCTCAGCAGCAGGAGCAGGAGCAGTAGCAGTCTCTGGCTGCGTTTCTTGGGCGGGGGCAGCAGACATGGCGGGTGGGTTGGTTTATGGTTGTGGTTATGTAAAAGGTGGTAAGCCAATCAAGCGCGACTCGAATGAAGAGTCGGGGTTGGGTCCGCGCGAAAACTAGTGGGCTGGTGTGTTTGTCGATATCTTGTAGATAAGGTACTCGAGCTCAAGTTTTGCTTGCTCAAAGTCGCTTGCTCTTCGTCAATGAAAGACAAGAGTGAGGGAATCGCAAAAAGAAGAGAAGAGAAGAGGCTTTCAGAGTCAAGAACAATGCCCAAGGGAAAGTGCGCGACGCTCGCATACTTGTAGACTTGGGCGGCGGAATCGCTTTCGCTGCCAAGATGCGCTAAAAGTCTTAGAGGCTTGGCGATATTCTAGTCTGCGGTTAGGGGAGAGGAAACTGTGTACTTATAAAATACGGGTGACCTTGGCGCACAGGATTGGCTGCGGCTGGATACGGCAGAGACGCGACGTCCCCATACGGTCAAGCGGCATGACTACCATCACACTTTCAGGCGTGCATTTAACAGGTCTTGTGTCATGCCAAGATGTTGCCAAGAAGCACTGCCCAGCATGGTCCGAGTCTCTACCAATTGCTGTGAATTGCGGAATTCTTAGCCCGACAGCGCATTTTCTTGGTTCCTCCGTCGTCCAAGAAAACCGGAGTTACTTGGCTGGGGCGGTTCTCAGTCTTTGCACGTTTGGGGAAGAGGTCAGGAGAGGGACGAGTCGAGGCGGTTGCGCCTGGAGAGAGGAGACGGTTGTGCGAGGGAGGGATCGGAGCGCTGGGGAAACACTTGGAACGCTGGAAATAAATATAGACAACAAGAAACGTCTCCAATGAAAGTCTGTTGCAAGAATTCCTCTGGTCTCGTTCGTTATCGGGTCACGTAAAGGATGCCACCTCCCATGAGGGAGTAACAGATGAACTCTAAAGGAGTTGAGAACTCGGCTGCTATCAGAGCCCATTTCTCGAAGACGCAGGAGGGGGCCGCTTCTCCCCTCCTGTGCCATGACAATCAACGCATCCCAAGACTGCTAATTATCAACAATTATCAATAGATTGTACCATCGAAGAAGCTGTTCTACCCTTCTTCTGCCGTGTGATCATATCGGATTTAACCACCTGCCCCAGAAGGCTCGTTGAATGGAAAGGACAAGACAATCCACTCCAATCCCACCCGGAAGCGCCATGCACCATTACGACGATGAGAACTTGCCCAGCCCTTGGCTCTGCCAATTTTATTCCGCTCAGTGGAATTTCTTGACTCTCGTCCCTCCCAACGCCGTTTGATGCTGACAACTCTTGGGGACGCCAATGATGGGGAATGCTTGGAAGGTTGGGCTGAGCATCTTGGATAATTGGAAGAAGCACCAAGAGTCTGATGACAGAAGGAAAACGGGGAAGCAGGTTTATCCACCTTGGATGCTTGAAGGAAGTAAGATGACAGAGGCCAATGTTGACAAGCAATTTCTGGCCAGTCGTAGGCAGAAAGCAAGCAACTATTCCAGGATTCGAAGCACAAGATCGGAGTTAAGAAGGTTCTGTTCTCTTTGAATTAGGTCCTTGAGAGAGAAGGTGGTTCCATTTAGTGTTGCTCGCCTGCCAGATCGCGATCGTTTTCGTTCAGAAAGCATCAGTCCCCCTGTTCCTCGATCGTCCTTAACCAGCTAAACAAATCATTGAAACAAGATCTCAACGATTCTATGGCTCTGGACAAACAGAACACAAAGGGATGAGAACTCGACTCTCCGTTAAAACATAGGCTCAGGTTTGAGAAACACTTTCCACATCCCCCAAAGATAGATCAGGAGTGCTTATCCGCAGGTCCCCAATAGACTGTCAGTATTACCCACGTTGTACCTACAATAAATGGCATTAGAAGAAGTTTTGAAGGATAAATTTTTCTTCGCAGCTATCTAATTAGTATTGCATCTACCCATACAGAATCATTTTGAACTTGCTTCAGAGTCAGAAGCTTCTTGCGTCCCGCAGGTTCGCTGCATTTGAATTGGAAGATAACGAGAGCTCTCAGGTCTAGATATCGTCATTTTGACAGGCAGCTTTGTCAAACAATAGTTTCTGTATTGTTCATGTTGATAAAGCAAAAGCAAACTTTCTGTATCAAACTATTCCAAGTCAATGGATCTAATCATAGTTTGTTACAGCACTATTTTGATATTATAAAGAGCTTAGGCGATATTTATTGTTTTGCCTGTGTTGCCTTCTACCAACCTTGCACCGGAGCGCGGGACACAGTATAAGGCACTATTATATCCAGAGTTGTGACGCAGGCAATGATAACTGCAAGTTACCCTCAATATGTTTCTAGGTAATTGTTGCCTATCAATTTTAGCTTGATTGCTTTAGGACAGTGTAGGCAGGACAGCACATTCCTTCAAGAGGGAGGTAGGTAGGTAGGTACGCCAGCGAGGGGATTAAATCACGTGAGCCTATCTCTGCAGGGAATACCTACGTCGGCCCGACATATGAGGCAGCATGATTCAGAGTGGACAGGCAGACAGGCAAATTTCGGCGGTAGATCTGGACACCGAAGAAATTGTCGTCCTTCTGTTCAAGATTGTCTGAGAAAAAAGGATCAAAACCATTCGTAAAGACTGTTTATCAAGTGGCTTCAAATACCGATTGTAATTTGTATCGTTGTGCGTTGTTGAAATCATGCTTGAGTACCTTCACTTTTGGTGTTCTTGTACGCCACAAATCGCCCATACTTTCTTGACTTCAATCAAGTAGATGCAACCCAGACTTAATGAGTTCCAAAGATCATTCCGAAGAACTCCCAAACAGCCTGAGATATACGTGTGCACTATATCACAATTGGAACTGTCTCATAGGTGACTGTTGACTATGATTTAATTGCAGCTTTGTTGTTGTTGTTGTGGTTGTGGTTGTGGTTGACTCTGCCAGGGAGGACACACGACTCAAGATGTCAAGTCAGTCGTGCGGGAAGCAGGTGCATGGTTCCTCATCTTCTTCCACCAGTCGCATCGAGGAGGTGATTTGCCTTCCAACCGAGGCTATCTCGCGTTTGACGAGCCCATTCCCAAACAGTCCAAAGCATGACCCAGCTGGGAGACGATCCCCGAGAGACCTACAATTCCCGCGCAGAGCCTGGACCTGGAGTAGTGGAGGTCTCACGCGGAGGAGACAGGCAGATAGGGAAGGCCAGGAGAGAAGTCTCAACAGAGGTTGTTGATGCAAGCTTTTGCAGGCCTTGCTCCATACTGCACAGTCCTGTCTGTACTTATTAACATCACGATAAGAGTGCCTAGAGGATCTCCTCGTGGTTCCAAGACCCGCGAGCGATTTGCAGCGATTTGCAGCAGTCTCATTGCTTGCTGAAGCGCAATAAGCTTTCCAAGGCGGATTCCAAGACTCTCTTGGCGGGTGTTTGGAGTGAGTGTTTGGAAGTGAAGTGCCATTGAAGCTTTGGAGTCTTCCCTGCCCTGCCCTGCCCCGGCGAGCCTTTTAGGGGCTGGTCGAGGTGGTGTGCCGCAGGCTTGCTGCACAAAACCAGTTTGATCCATCCCAAACGGTCACCAGATGTCAGCCCATGCCATGGTACAACACAACACCTACTGTACTGTACAGTAAGGTATGGTGGATTGAGTGTGGTGGCAGGCAGTATGCTGTGCATCGCAGCTGTGTATAGTCAAGGCCACCGAGGTCTTAGGCATTGTATTGATCACCGAGTACTGAATACTGAGGACTGAGGACTGAGGACTGAGGAGAAGGAGCACACTCGCTTTCGAGTCGCTTTCGAGGAGCAATGATGATACAGTAATAATAATCTGCGCAGATGCTCCAAAAACGCAAAGCATAATAGATTAATCATTCACCAGCGCAGTCCCAGACTCCCGACTCCCAGCTCCCAGGCGAAACATTGACTACTAGTCTACTACTGAGGCCTGCGCCCGCGCCCGCCCATTAATCGTGCGAGCAGACCAGAGGGGAGCAGAGTCCTGGCTGGGGGTCCTGGGACTGGGACTCTGGGAGTGCTGGTCCTGCTGGTCCTGCTGGACTCCTGGCCCATCGGATCTGGTCGTGGCCGACTGGCCGCTGCGTCTGGCGCAAAGCTTACACTCGTGTTCCAGAGCCAGAGTCCCAGCCAATAATGAATCCAGCCCCGGGCCTGCCGCACTGCACTGCACTGCACTGCAGTGCACGCCACCGCACCGCACCACTTGTGCTGTCCACCTTGCCCACCTCGCCCTCCTTGCCCTCCTTTTGCCCTCCCTCTCCCTCCCTCCCTGCCTGCCTGCCTGCCCCCAATCAAATCTGAATCTGAATCTGAATCCCGAAATCCCCTCATCCGCTCCTGGAGACGACGACAGGAATACATCACAACACAACACAACTCAACACAATACAACACAAACAGCAGAATACCATATCGATTTCCCCATCACCGCAACATTCTTAACGATTTACCAGCCGATTCTCGTACGCACGTAGAGGCCCGTCTGCTTCCGTTCCATCGACTGCAGTTGATCGCGCGCTGATTCACGACCTCCGCCACCTCGATTGAAATGTCCCATTAACGGTAGATGACTACCAGCGGCAGGGCCGCAACAAGATGAACATGGAAGTACGACAGCTTATCAACATCGCGAGGCCCAGCCGGACCTCGTCATCGACTTCAACGCCTCACTGCACTCCCTTTACGCTTCCCTCAAATGGGGTCCTTACCCTCGCAGTTGACAACATCATTACCCTCACCTCGGATGCCGTTTTCCAGCCCGAATGTACCGGTTTCAGTGGTACGGTTCTCACCGGGAAGGGTTATACCGATTTCCGCGATCCATTTTACGCCTCGACGATCCCCGAATGCTACGCGCTGGCAGCTGCGACGGTGACTGCGTATATGCTCGTGATAATGCTCTTCATCACTCCCAGGACATTCTTACGCGAGGGTGCAGTGGTCTTGGGTCGACGTGGTTTCACGAATGGCCCATCAGCAAGTGATGCGGGTATCGGAATTGGAGGACGACCGTGGCTTCAGAAGGTTGCAGCGCTGACTGTAGCGATATCCCTTACCATTGCGACCGCTGATACCTTTCGTGTGGCCGAAGCACAATATCAGGTTGGTTACATGGATGCCGCTGCGTTGCAAAGTGAAGTGGAAGATGGCCTGGAGTTGAAGATTATACGCGTTATTTCGGACACCTTCCTATGGCTCGCCCAAGCCCAGACTCTGATAAGACTTTTTCCTCGACAGAGAGAGAAGATCATCATCAAGTGGACCGCTTTTGCTCTTATCAGTCTCGATGTTCTTTTCAGTATTCTCAACAATTTCGTATATAACGGCAACTCACGACCGCGAAGTTTTGTCGATGCGATTCCGGCACTTGCATACCTCTTTCAACTGGCACTAAGTTTGCTGTATGCTGCATGGGTTATGTATTACTCGATTACGAAGAAACAATTCGCCTTCTATCATGTTCAGATGAAGAACATGTGTCTGGTTTCACTTTTGTCATTGGCATCAGTGTTGATACCGGTAGTCTTTTTCGTCTTAGATATATCACAGCCATCTCTGGCTGGATGGGGGGACTATGTACGATGGGTTGGAGCAGCGGCAGCCAGTGTTGTAGTTTGGGAATGGGTGGAACGAATTGAGGCTTTAGAGAGAGATGACAAGAAAGATGGCGTTCTGGGACGAGAGGTATTCGACGGTGATGAGATGTTGGATGCCAATTCGCCATCGAACGATCATTGGAAGAACGGAAGCCCCAACGGAAAAGACGATGATGGAGACCGTGACGGGGGTAGTGGAGCTATCACCAGCTCCAATGGGAGATCGTGGCCTACTGTCGCTGGCCTCGCACATCGATATCGGCCACGGGCCAAGCATGATGTTGAGAGAGGCAAAGCAAGAGGTGATGGAGGAACTACGAGAAATAAAAGGGGGCCACGACCCAGGCCTCCACTGTGGCCTACACGGCCACCAGCTGCTGCAACACCGATCAGCAGAACGGACTCGGCAAGTGCGGAAAGTACGGTGTATGCCATTCGCTACCACCCGATCAGTGAAGCAGCTGTACCAGTCAGAGAAAATACCAGAGAAAGTATGAGGCCGACAGAGCCATCGAGGCACAACAGTGCAGAAATAATCAGACCTCCAAGTCCTCTTCGCAGAGATTCCAGCGATGATCTTGAGAAGAAGTCCATCATTGAGCTGATGGAAGAGGGGCTAGGCACAGAGCCTCCGCCCCCAGAACCACAGAGTGCATGGAACACTCTGGCTAAAGCCAACCCATTTCGAAGAAGAGGCAGAGAACCCCCGCCACAGGTGTCTGCACACACCGCCAAAACCCAAGAGACAGCCAATGCTCATGGCACATCAAGCGTATGGGATGTACGAGCACGACTTGAGGATTTCGCTGCAACACAAGCTGAGAAACTCCGCGATAAAAATCGAGTCAACACTGCAGCTGGAGGGCCTCTTCCTGTCACAGTTATTCCAGCCCCCCCTCGCAGAAGGGATCTGGCCGCGACCCTTGAAGAGCTTGAGGACGCTGAGCGAAGACAACAGCACAGACTACCACAACAGCCAGCAGAACGTCCGATTCCTGAGCGATCGACGAGCGTGGCAACTAGGGCCGTTTCCCCTGTCGTTGAGGAAGGCGAAATTTCACGCCACGCACAGTCGCAGCGCTTGAGCGACCCATACCGACCAGACGACTTGAATGGACACTCCATTCACCAGCGTGGAGCCATTCAATTCGTCACTGCTCTACCACAGGACCGTGAAGCCAATGAGCCTGTCTCACCTGTATCCCCACTGGAGGTACAAAGAGTAACTCCTCTAAGCTTCACCAACAGCGCTCGCAACAGCCCAGTTCAACCACGGTCACCTACATCACAACGAAGATCTGACGGGCTTTCCGTTACGAGCATACCAGCTCCGCCTCGAAGGCCACGATCTCCTGAGGAAGATGACTAGTGCTGTACAGCGGGCGAGGCGTCTGGTCTGGTTAAGTCTGGGTTTTTTCTTTAGCGAGGCGTTCACGTGGGTGTAAAATACCACTGGAACCCAAAAATGGGGTTAGGATAATTGGTGTTGAAAAGGAAAAGGGTGATTATTGGATAGTAGGTTTTTGTTTGGATATCGGCGTACAGGAAGGCTTGCATATAGAAGAGTTGCATCGACACAGGAAAGGAAAGGAGGCGGACTTGCGGCAAATAGTGGAGGAAGTTATATAGGGGCCTTGAGATGGATGGTGGCTTCTGCCTATGGCGAAGCGCACATACGCAGGACTTGCATATTGTACAGAAAATATGACGACTTCACGACGGATTGCATCGCCGTTTGGACAGGAAGGAATGATATCCTTGTACCTAGCCAGTTGAGTAATCAGTAATGCTGAGAGGAATCCATTCGATTCGGAGCAGAAGCTGTAGTTCAAACAAAGAAAGTAAAAGTTAAAAGTAAACAGTCCTCTTCAACCTCTTGATCTATGTAACCATGTTTAGACTCACCAGCCTCCCTTTCGCTCATCCGATAAACAGCGAGACAAAGCAGCCCTCAATTTTCTGTTGGCGAACCCCTACTACAAGCGCGCAAGCCAGCCACTTCACAAACTCCATTCTTCGTTCCCCTAATCTTAAATTTCAGCAACAACAGTGGTTAAACTTCTAACTGGTGTTTCTCGGAGACTAACGCCTCCTACGTCCTTTCCTGGTGGTCATGTTACCAGGCTGCGGACAAGCCAGCTACTCCTCAAGAATCAGCCCAACATTTTCATAGTGAAGCACGCACTGTGAGCTGGAAGTTTTCATTTTTAGAAAGGCAAGGAAATTTACATTATGCGTGCTAGGTAAGTGTGTCTGTGGTAAGAAAGTAAGACAGACCTCTTAACCCCTTGAGTGTTCTATATGATTGCAAACCCGATGCTTACATAGATTGACTGAACACATCTATGTATCATCTCTCACCAGATCCCGAAACAGAGTCATTCTATTGTCTCTTTCCCCCCTAGACCACGCTCAACAGCAAAACACCACCTACAGTGATTGATTGAATGGAGTAGCGTATTCATGCACTTGATACCCACCCAAGCCACCCTGACTGACTCGATCACGCTGATTTAGCCCCCTGTCACGGAACCTTGATTAGCAGAAATTTTCTCATACTTGTCTGTTCTTGACTCTGAGAGATGCCTGGATCTCTATCCCGAGCTTTGTTCTAGGCTTAGGCTTTTATGCCTGCAGTTTGAAAAAGCAGAGCCAAAGGTTTGGACTATTCTTCCATTACCTAGTCATGTATTTCCCAAAGAAGAAGGAACATGGGTGACAATGTCAGGCCAGGTATCAATCATGTATTGCTGTTCTCATTCTCCAGAGTTGTTGAATTCGCCTGCGAGAGATGTGAGCGAGGGGCGTGGTTGGGACATGAGAATTTCCAAGGAAGGTCATTGAGATGTTGCACATGATCGGGGCAGATCAAAACGAGAGGATCAGAAGTTGATTTGCATCAGACTATCTAAAGAGAGGCAGGCATTCATCCGACCTTTCGAATCATCCATCCATCCATTGCACACTCCATTGATCAATCCCAAGCCGCCCAGCCATTCATCCAGACATCTGTCCAGAGTTCAAATCAGCAATCCAGCCACCCACCCATATTGCATTCATAAACCAATCGACCAGGCTCTAAGTACGCCTTGATAGACAGCCGATTAACCCAGCGCGGGCCAGAGCAGACCACCCCGTCCCAGCCATCCATCCACCAGCGCGCCAGCCTTTCTTTTTGTAATTACAGAGAAAGTAGAAAAGAGGGTGGGATTAAAGTGCAAGAATAAAAGTAAAGACCCATGTGCTCCATCCTCTATCCCTTGTGAACCATAAGCAGAGCGGAATGTGAAAAAGGAAACTAAAAAAGCAACGCTGAACCACCGATCATGCACCGTTTTATGCCACTTTCGTAAAGCCATGAGAATCTTTTCTGTCGTTCAATTATTGGCAACCCAGTGTTTGGTTGTCTGCGGAATCATCTAAGGGAGAAAGGAAAATGAGAAATGAGCAAAGCTGCGCCGTATCGTGCCACAAATGACCATGAATGTCGTTGAGTTTCGATTTCATGATAACGTGCTGTGGCGGTTTGGGTATCGAAATTCACCGAAATTTTCGTAGGAAAAAGGATCGGGCTGAAAGCGAAATTTAAGAGATCGTGGGCTTGTTGGCCGGTTCTCCTTCTCGGGGGCGCTCCTGTTCTGCTTGGGCTTCGTCCCGAGCATCGACGTTGTCGGCCTCAGCCAAAGCCTCCTCGCCCACCCTCCCGTCAGTCGACTTATCGTCGCCGTCATTCTTTCCATGCGTACTGACGTCCCCGTAATTGGAGTCGTCACTTGAAGAACTATCATCTCCATAATTCTTGGCACCGCGCATCATAGACTTGGATGCAATACCAACAAGTGTAGCACTGCTTCGATTGTCACCCTCGTTCTCACTGACGTCCTCGCTTGGGCTGCCTTCGTTGCCCGAGCTACCAGGACGAGTTGTGACAGCTTCTTGAAGAGCTTTGGCTTTGGCGACCGCATGAGCAGCTTGCTCGGCAGCCTTATCGGCTTTGCTCTGTTTCTTCCACATGCTGGCATAGCGACCTTTCTTAGCAAGAAGTTCATGGTGGTTTCCAGATTCAATAACCTGTCCGGCATGTAGTACAAGGATTTGATCCGCGCTGGTGATAGTGGACAAACGGTGACTAGATAGAGTTTAGCTTATGGACCTGGATACTACCGTCAAGGTGACTTACGCAATAACGAGCATAGTTCTGCCCTTGGACAAAGTTGTCAGAGCATGTTGAATGTTTTGCTCGGTCTCGGAGTCCAGTGCTGCAGTTGCTTCGTCCAACATGATGATGCGGGGATCCTTGATAATTGTTCTAGCAATGGCCACACGTTGCTTCTCGCCGCCACTTAAACGGAGACCGCGTTCGCCGACTTTAGTATTGTATTTGTCAGGAAATGCCATGATCTTGTCATGGATGGAGGCAGCTCGGCACGCAGCGTACACGTCTTCATCGGTGGCATCCTGGTTTGCATACTTTAAGTTGTACATGAGCGTCTCGTTGAACAGAACGGTGTCCTGGGGAACCACACCAATGTGACGCCTTAGAGAGTCGATGGTGATATCTCTTACATCGTTGCTATCAACTTGGATGCTGCCATCTTGAGTGTTGTAAAAACGGAAAAGTAGTCGGAATACTGTCGATTTTCCTCCGCCTGACTCTCCAACAAAAGCAGTCGTTGTACCTGGACGACAAGTGAAGGTGAGATTTTCCAGTGCAGGCTTGCGCTCGTCATAGGAAAATTTCACATTCTGAAAGCTGATTTGACCTTCACAGGATGGCATTTCTTTTGCGCCGAAATCATCAACAACAGTTGGTTGTTCTTTGAATAACTCGAGTAGTCTCTCGCCGCTTATCATCGCGTTTTGAACGCTCCGATAAAAGGAGCCAAAGAAGTTGAGCGGCTGTTGGAGTTGAGCCATATAGGTCAATAAAGTGACGAAGTCTCCGGCTTTGCGAGTCCCTGTTGTGACTTGGTACGCAGATATAAAAGACGTGATGAGAAGCCCAGTCATGAATACCATGTTCTGGGAGATATTGAGGATATTCAAGGATATCGTGACCTGGTATTCCATATTTTGGAATGCCTGGACAGCGCTACGATATCGGTTGAACTCGTAAGCTTCAGCGTTAAAATACTTCACAGTCTCATATGAAGTAAGCGAGTCATTCTTGACAGCTTCTTCTTCTCTACTGAGATTCGTCATCTGTCGTCGCTGTTTGGATCGCCATTGGGCCATGCGGACCGTCAGATATAGGTAGGCAAATGTGATGATGCCAACCACAAGAGCATGGTATGCATCGTAATAGATAGCAAAGTAAACAATGGCAACTCCTAGATCGAACACCATGGGAAGGACCGAGAAGGTGATTTGCTCCAAGAAGTTGTTGATTGCAGTTCCCTTGCTCAAAGCAGAAAGGACCTCTCCCGTTCGTTTTCCCAGGTGGAAGTCGAGGCTGAGGCTGTGTACATGCTCGAATGAAGCTGTAGTTAAGGCCTTGTAGGAGTACTGCGAAATTGGAATCCAAAGTACTGATCTGATGGCTCCCAGAATACCAGATGTGCCTTGCAAGAACTTCAGCCCAATAAGGATAGATATGGAAAGCCAAGGCATGCCGGAATGTTCCTTTCTGTTTGCCAATTGGTTGGTCAGGTGCCCAAGCTGAACGGGCACATACATGTTGACGACCCGTTGTAGTACAACTAGAATGAAGCAGCATAGGACAACGACTTGAAGCCTCGTAGAGTTGCTGGGCCACAAATATGGGAAGAATAGGGAGTATCCTCGGATATATTCCCACCAAGTCCTGTCTGGAGCGGTGGTTGGCTTATAGAAAGCAGGATTTTCATTCTCCTCCAGGTTCTTCCGTGATGGGGTTGGATCCCCCTCTATCGAACCGTTTTCGGGACCAGCTGGAATTCCATTGGCAATAGATCCGTTTGCAGACACAGGGAGGTTTGAGTTTGCGTGGCCGTTGGTAAGGAGAGGTGCTCGCTCATCAAAACTGCCTTCAAAAGCACTGCGAGCAAGGCGGAACCGTTCAACTGAAAAGATGGCGTAGAATCCAAATAGAGACAAAAGAACAATGACCCGTGCAACGTCGATTACCAATTCAACTAGCTCCCAGTTTGTAGGTGTCCGATAGACCTTTCCCCCAATGTCTTTTCGAACAGAATTGATTTCCTTGTGTGGAGAAGTGTAGAGTGCCAGGGTTTCTCCAAGCAGTATGACCTCGAGGATGACTGAAAGACCCCATATAATTTGGTGAGAGATGTTGGGTGACGGAGTTGTGTCGACCAAGGAAATAAGAAAGACGCTGTAGAAGAATGCCGATGCACAAACGTATATCTATGGGAAGCCAGTTAGTATGACCTTTGAAGGCTATCCTTCGAAAAGTTAAACACTTACAGCTGTAGCTTCGCCGCACCACCAACCATTTTCGCTCTTGGTAAGGGAATGAGCAATGATTTCGACACCGTTGGCCAGAAATGTCAAAAGAAGTGCAGCAGAAAGGTAAAAAAACAGCCACTTCTTTCTCTGACTGAACTCCTTGTCCTTCTTCTTCTTCTCAAGTGCCTTCTTGTTCTTTCGAGCAGAAGTAGGTGGAAGAGGTTTTCCGCCAGGACCCAGTCGGACTGGACCATTGGCTTCTGCTGAGGGTTCAGCGGTGAGGAAGGTGTTTGTAACGAATGCAACTAGGAAGACCGCAAACAAAATCCACGCATAGTAGAAGTGAAGCAGATCCAGAAGCTTCGTTGAGGAGGGAGGGCCATCTTCACTAATTCCTGAGAATAAACTCAGTTCAACTTCCTCGCTCGCCATTATTAATGCTGATTATACGCCCAATTCCTCCGTCCCGCATCAGTTTTCCGTTTCGTGAAGAGGTTGTAGACAGCTCATGGCACATTCGAGTGCAACACGGTGCAATTGAGAATGTGCAAGGTCAACGCGAAGCAATTGTAGCCTCGGTAAAATCGCCACCTAGAAGATCACAAGATGGTGTCAGCTAGTGTGGCTTGTACAAATGTCTCTGGGGCAATGTGGAGTTCGCTCCGGTGACCGGTGGAGAGTATCGAGTTGCAATTGCTCTGCAGGAGGAGTGTTGGGGTTGTTCTGCAAGGAGAAGGGGGAGGTACCTCGAGAAATGCGGAAGACTGAGTTGAAGTGGTGGTAGGGTGAAAGCGGCGTGGAAGATCGACCCCTCGGTCGATCGAGCAAAGGTGAGGAACGGAAAGGGAAGAACAGGAAGAGAGAGTCGCGGGGCAGAATAGATTAATCAAACGAGCGAGCGAACGAACGAACGATCGATCGATCAGTCCCAGCGACTGCAGGCCACGACCAGTTAATGCACAGCAAAGAGAGCGCCCGGTATTTGCAAGTCGTCCACCGTCCTCTCCACGAAGGCTTTGAAGTTTTCGAAGAGAGTGAAGGTAAGTATTGTAAGGTACGGCGGTGCTTGAAGGCGACCAGAGAGAGTCTTCGGTACCTAGGTATGGTACGGTACCTAGGTGGGTGGTGGGGATTCTGCTGCTTCACCGCCTTCGCGTCCCTGACCTGGTGCTGGGCTGGCTCGCTGGCTCGCTGGCTCACTGGGTCTGGTTCTGGTTCTGGTTCTGGTTCTGGTTCTGGTTCTGGCTCTGGCTCTGGGTTCTGGTTCTGTTCTGGTCTTGCAGCGTGCAGCGTGCAGCGTGCAGCAAGCAGGGGCAAGGGCAAGGGCAAGGGCAAGGGCAAGGGCGCAAGGGGGCCCTGTTTTGTCTGATTGACAGGCGAGACAGGCGAGACAGGCGAGACAGACAGGCTGCAGGTGGTGGTCGTGGCGGTGGTGGTGCTGTACAGTACAGTACAGTATTTACTGTACTGTAAGTTACCTACTCGTAAATCTACTATGATACTGTAGATAACCCAGAAGCCTTGGCTTGGCTGTAAATGCAGTGCTGCACTCCACTGGACACTACTGGGTGACAACTTGACAAGTCCCGATCTTGATCTTGATCCAAAGCCCGACTCAATTCGACTCGACTCGACTCGACTCGACTCGACTCGCTTGTTCGCTCCGCGCGGGACCCGATTCATTCACTGCAGCCGGATCAATCGAGTTCTGATCAACACAAGCGCCTCTGCCACTAGGTTGACTTACTTCGTTACGGAACACACTACCGGATATATGAGGGACAGTCGCCAGTTCACCGTCTCAGACCGGAGAGTCAGGTAAATTATTACCTGCGGCGGAGATGTTGCTAGAATCTCCTATGACTTGTGTTTGTCGTTCCCACTTCTTCCGGAACTTGAGAATAATGGAAACCTTGGAAGTGGAAGGCTCAAGACAAGTAAGGTAAGTGTACCGGGCGATGAAGTGGGTATATTCCACGCCAAGCAAAGTTCAGGAAGCGGAGCCGGTGCGTCGTGCCAGAGTTAGATCCAAACTCTATGATATAAATCTGTTTCTTATGTTTGAGCTTGGATACCTGGTGTTTGGCGAAGATCTTTGATCCAATCTTCAGACCGAATGTTTCATGGGGGCTTGTTATGTCTTGTTGGATGTTGGTCTGATGAGCCTTTGGTTATGGCTATCGGACTTGCAGTGGATGCTTTCTTCTTACCCGTCTTGCTGGCTCCTATTATCAAGAGATCTGGACTTCAAGTGCAGTCGGAGAGTCGGAGAGTCGGAGTTTGGAATCTCGGTACTGAGCTTTACGCTTGTTGTTGAGAAGGGCATAAGATATCCTTTCGGTCCTGTTATTTCCAAATACTGGCCGTCAGTGGAAACTCTGGCCGATTCCCTCAAACAATCTTCAATTATGGATGGTCTAGGTTGTTTACTAATCCTCTCTTCAGCTCCGCAGAATTACCTCTTAGAGATCCGAGTATTCTCACCTGCGAATCGTCGGTCCAAAATGTGGCTATGTTTGTTTTGCAGTTCCTGATCATTGACCAGATGCAGGATTTTGTTGAGCACTATTGAAGTTGAAATACGACTTGGCTACTAGTCAAGTTCTTCCGTGAAATATTGGATGATATACTGCGATGTCATGCATCATCGGGGAAGACATACGAAACTTAGGTACTCACTGGAGAATATATAGAAAGCTATATTTCTATAATGGCACACTCTCACACACCTCTTCCTCCACCCACACTCAGAGGAATCATAGTACACGTATATCCACATACCTCCAGTCGCTGGAAAGCCTCCATTTAGAAAGGACTATTGACTGCCACCCAGCCACACCACTTTATTTGCAGGATTTTCATACCCAACTGGCACCCCCCCTCTCCCCAATTGCGCAGGCACACTGACATGCCTCTTTTGTCTGGTTCTCCACTTCTCAGGCACACACCGTCATCGTGCACCTGAGTACGAGCCCACCAGGTATGTTCTTTCCTCCCACGAGTCTATGTCCCGGGTCTCACATCGGTCACATATCACTCGCTTCTCACACGCGCATTCTTATATATAGAACCGTAAAGGTCTCTCCATCGTCGATGTTCCAGCTGGTGACGGCAGGTCAGGTAAGCCCCTCATCCTCATCCTCATCCATACGAACCACAACAGTTCGCCATCCTGACCCCTCCCCCCTCCATCAGGAACGCCACCAAGATTTGGCCACCCAACCGCCAGCAACCACCTAATTCCACCAGATGCAACGCCTCTTCGCTCGACAGCCGCCAATCCCCGGGAAAGTTGATATGTGAGAGCGCCAGGATGCGCAAAGTTCGGTCACTGGTCCATCTTGACTCTCGAGCACCATTTATTACTATTAGCTCCGTCCTCAGGCTGGTCCGTCCTGTGCCACAATAACAACTACGCAGCTGCTGGCCTCGCAATTATTCGTTGGGAGCGACCTCAAACAGATGTCACCAAATGCGTGTCAGATTCAGAACTGCACACGACAAGCTCGAACAGAGAGTGTGATTCTTGCTTCCTGGGCATAAGGCATGATCGGCCAAAGGTCTAGAAGCACTTCGCCAACACCGCCAGGGAGAGAGAGGTCGGGGCTTGCCTGCAACCATTTCTGTTCAATAATGGCCCATCCCCATCAACAAACTCCACTGGGAGGGAGTACCTCTCCTACCTATCCAAACACCTGCCTGTGTTCAGGTTGCTGCTCATGCAATGCAGCGCGAGGCCTCGCAGTCGCAGCGCAGCATTGGGTCCTGGGTCTGCTAGCTTGACTTCGTGCTGCAAGGAAATGCAACAGCAGGTCCGGAACTCGTTGGCCTTCCCCGAGCTCCCCAGAGTCGCTACTGGAAAGGACAATCAATATGTGATCCACCAAGCAGCCAGCCAGTCGGCATGTCGATTCAAGCGATTAAGAAAAGGCGTTTCGGCCAGCAGCATCAAAATGACATGACAAACTCTCCCACCCGCTCAAAGATACTTAACTCAACTCAGCCTCCTCACATCAGCGATCTCCTGCTACAGCCAACGCCAGCAGTTTCATAACCTGCGTCATGCACTGCTGTCCAATGCGTCCTGCTCTGCGAGTCTGCTCGGCTTTTCACTCGGACGCTGGACGGTCGCCGTTCGTTATGTTATCCCAGCGATCTCCAGCCGGTAGGGACCAACCTTAATTGGATCACCTCGAAAGCCATTTGAAAAGAGCCAAAAGCCTTCCGGTCCGACCTCGCAGTCCGTATGCATATATTCCACTCTCCAAGAGTGACGATGTACCCTCTGTTGCATATGCGATCAACCCATTGGCGTGCCTTGGGGGGGCGTACTGTCATGTCTGATATCCGAGCTCCCAGAATTGACATTTAGCGGTGAAGGGCAAACAAGCAGCAACGCAAAACAAAGCAAGCCAGCCATTCCTCAAGTCAAGAAGCACAACAGCCCATCTCCCGACGTGCCGTCCCTTCCCTCCCTCCCTTGCCCCATGCTATGCCTCGCTCGCATGGCAGGCTGCTGATGGGCCGCCGCTCAGTCTGTTGTCTCCATAAAATGATGTGATGGTCCACGTCTTGCCTCGATTCAACTTGTGATCCCGGGAATCCTACAGTACGTATGTACATGTACTGCAAAGAGCGAATAAGCAGTAGCCGAATCATAATCTCCGCTATTGGTCTATCCAGAGCACACTCGTCGGGATCGAGTTAGGGATCAGAGCAAGTTCTCGGATTCTTTCAGCCATTCATGGTTGGGGTGTTATCTACACTCCGTTACCAGAGGTCGAACATGAAGTCCCCCAAGCTCCTTCCATGAGTCAACCGAGCACACAATTTGTCTTCCCTGCCTTTTGGCGGCGATGATGTACATGCCTGTTCTTTCCTGCGTGCCGTGTTCATCAATGCGATTTTTGCCCAATGTTGTACTGCAGATGCTAGTCTGCTCGCGAAATTTGAACATTCTGCCTTTGGCGAGCTTTCAGATCAACAGATCCCCTGACACGTATGTCTTTGGGCAAAGGCCATAAATTTGAGCAGTGACGAGTGTACGTTCTTGCCACACATGGCGTCGACCGTCCACAGCTATGATCAGAGTCGTGTCACGGTACAGAGCGGTACAAGAGCTGGGGTTTGAGCTTGCCCAACCTATTTGCCAATCTCCAGGCTCGAAAAGCAAGCCTCTCGGTGCGGATGGTCTCCGAGGACTTGCCATTCAGGAATAGGAAACCGCACCACTGTAAACCAGCCGTACCCAGGGATCGAGCGGATCAGATCGATGGTTAAGTCGAGACTTGTCACATTGGTCGTAGAATCGAGTCAGCCAGCGAACCCATTTGCCATTCGTTTGGGGGCCAATCTCAGTCCAGCACAGAACGGGGAAAGACTTACAAGAAGAGGATCAATGCGTTGTGTGCAGTAAGTAGCCTGCAAGGTCTTCATTTGGAGTGGCAACTGACCCTCCCACATCTTGTTCTTTCATCCTCCTGAACTCTGGAGATGAAATGGAGCATTACCACGGGAAGGCTGGGGATTTGAGTTACGATCCGCATCGACGTATCTTGAGGAGAGTGGATATGTTTTGCGGGATGTCAGTTCCGACAGCTTGTTCTGCATATTCTCCATACTTAGAGAAGTAAATATACCCTTGGGAAGTAGACGTGATACCGGATCGCGTGGGAAAGTCCCGGTCCATTTGAAGGAAGTGTGGGGTATCTATCAATTCATTGATACGACTCGGAGGCATGGCACTCTAGCAGTGGTATATGATTGAGTTTGATAGTCGAAACCTTGATCAAGTGTTAATTCATAATCAGAGAAGAACATTGTAGATCTTCCATGTGGGAAAAATATGTTGAAGCGTAAAGTACAGAAGCTGTCTCCCTAGAGCGGCGAAGTAACAACTCCGAGTCACACAGCAACTAGCTGTGTGGCAGTCATTGTTTTACAAGATAGTAAATGTCGCTCAGCAATTCCAAGAGCGAGTAGAGCAAAAATGGAATCGAAACGGAGAAGCAGAAGGGAGACAAGTGCAACGCACTCCTAAATCCATCTTCCCTCGTCACCTGAAACACTACTAGATACTTCAACGGCGTAGGGGAATCAGAAGGTCAAGAACAAGGCAAATGTAAAAGACTTCTTTCCAAGCTGCCTGCCTATGTGGCCCAACAAACCAAAAGAGATAGAATGTCGTACCACGGCATCATCCAAAACAAGCCACTCCAAACAATCTGGGACTACCAGGCAAGCATTGCTTCATTCGGCTCGATGACAATTGACAAACAAGCAATAAAACACCCTGCCCAGAACATTTTCTTCTTCAGAACTCTTAATATCATCACCAAAGCCAAAGTTACATTGATCCTACCCCACACGATGTGGACTGTCCTTTAGCACCCAGCTACCTAACAGCGGCGACATTCCAGAAGAACGGATGCAGAGACTGGTATATATACTACATCGCCTTCAAAGACAGCCACAGACCCGGTGCAAGTTTGAACACAGCTTACGCAAGCACGACAGATCCATCTGGCGATCCTCTCCAGCTCAGGGCAATCGCCGGCTCAAGTTCCTCCAGCTCCCACTTGGTACCCACTCCTCTCTCACTCTCCACACGATATCGGAAACATAAGTAAGCACAAAAGCACCAACGATGTTCCATGTAACACTACACTACACTACCCGTGTCTCTCCAACCGTGACCATGAGCCTTCCCTGACCCAATTCCAATTCCTATCCAGTCAAAACCACCAAAGCAATCAATCAAGAACTCAAGATGCCAACACTTACCAACTCCACGTTCCCAGTTCCACAAAACTTGCGTCCAAGTCAAGCAAAGTCTCAATTCAGATCCTACATATAACGGGCAGGGCGAGCGCGTACACCCCCCGCTCCGTACACCGGTCTGGTCTGGTCTGCTCGGTCTCATCTCGTCTCAGTACGTCCAGCCTCCCTAAGCAAAGCGGCGTAACACAAACCCACACGGATGCTACTCGAAAGCCGATGAAGACGCGGGTGCCGTGATCTGCGGGATGGCAAGGCGAGGTGAGTGTGCTGGGAAGAGGGGGAAATGTGATAGCTCTGATTTCTGGCCACTCCCCCCCCCCGGGAGAGCGCAGTGAGGTTATCGTGGGGATGATAGCTGCCGCTGTGCATATGTGGACAGGTGGTGTGGAGGGGAGATCCGTTAAGATAGCGGAGAAGAGAGGACCCCGAGGATGACTGAGTGGTTGAAATCGTATGGGAGGTTAATGAGATACTGCAGGTAAGATGCTTGGCTGGAGTGTGAAGCAATGAGTAAATGATTCCACAGCAGAAGACAATAGATATCATAGCAGATCCAGCATTACAGAAAGCAATAGGAAAGAATCGATCCAAGACATGCCATATCCTACTGACAATCATTCTCATTATTAGACTTCGTTACAGTATAATCAATACAAGAAGTGAAAACGACTGTACATAAGTTTCGCAACCTGCCCACACCTTGTTCAGGGCGACTACCAAATATGGGAGAGCGCATGATACCATTTCATGATCATCCAAGATAGATAGAGTAAGCGACAGTCCTAGGTAGCAAAACCCGGTCATCCTTCACACGACAGCGCTCATCTCGAACGCTGCTCGAACGACTGTTTGTTTCCGACATTACAGCCTCAATAGAGGCACGTCGCTTTCCCTACATCACGACCAGCCTCTCCAACGCTACAAGGGTGCGCCACTTTGAGTACGGATCGGACGTTCATCGACTTAAGCCTTCCTGACATTCTCCTTCCGGTTCGTTATGCTGTTTGTACGGATCTCAGTTGCGGAGGTCTTTCCGTTTCCATTGCTGCTCACTGCTTGTCCATTAACCAACAACTTGGGGCTCGATGGCTGCTCTTTGCGCTGGCGGGCGAGAGCATCCAGTCTCTGCTCTTCTTGGAACTCGTTCTCGTCGTTGTCGCTGCGATCGTCCTCTGCCGTTTTGAGGAATACAAAGCGCCAGGCGATTCGTAAGATATAGTATAGCCAGAACAAATTCAAGCCCTGAAGACTGGCTAGAAGAGCTGTGGAGATATAGAAGGACAAGTCGCACTTGTATTGCTCGGTTTCCCAGTTCAGACCATAGGGCCCAACGGTCTTGAATTCATTAAATTCAGACCAGAGAATGCGAAGGTTCAGGTAGTGTCGAAGATAGATCCAGGCGCAAACGAAGAATCCGAAATAGGGTCCAACGAGCGGGTGGTCCAGGTAGTTGAGAGTTTTGGAGGTCTAATAAGTTAGTACCCGATTAGGAATAGTAAGTGAAATACTTACAGCGAGGAAGAAATCACTGATATCGTGGGTAATAAAAACTCCCAAACCCATGTATGTAAAATGGAATCGGTAGCTCAAGAAGATCAAGGACAAGGACACTACGTGGTGTCCAACCAATTCATTGTAGTCCTTTCTTGGTTTCTCCATTCCTAGCATGAGCACAATAGCTTGTTGGGCCCAGTATGCGGCTTGGAAGAGGTAGTAGAACTTGAAGTAAGCCTCATGATGCTTGTGTGGAAATAGCTCGTACATCGCAGTTGTGTTGAAGTACCAAAGTGGTGTGCGGCTCATAACAAACAGTCCGCAGGGCCCCAGAAGCCCAAAGTAGATGGCTGTGTACATCTGTTCCATAAAGCGGGATTGTTTTGCCCTGCTTTTCAGCCCACTGTTTTTGGCCATAGGTCGCAAGAACTTCTGCATGATGAACTCTCTAGTGAAGGAGAGGACAATAACATAGAAAGATACGAAAGCAAAATCCCAGCGGCCCTTTCCATATTGTGTCGGAGTTCCTGGTGGGTCATTCGGATCTGGAGGGAGAGGATATGACAGAAAGATGAAGTGATGGATAGGATTCGTCTCGGTAGGGTTAATCGCATAGAGGATGAGGAATATTGAAAGGAGCACCAGTGGGGTGACCCAGGTGTGCTTCAGCGCATATCGTTTCCATTGCTGGAAGAGGGTTTTCGCTTTCCGTCGTTTGGAGAATGGTTTTTTGCGGTCTGACTCTTTTTGCGCCTGCTGTATGTCAGTTGTGTCGAAGGGAAGGGGGCAAAAGGGGGCTGCCGACTTTAATGGCTCCGGGAGACGGCGGTCTCACGTCTAAGGTTGCTAACGCTGGCGAACCTGTGTCCCCAGCTCTGATCTCTCCCCCAAGTCCACTTGACCGTCTTCGAATCCGCGGCTTTTCGGGGCTGTTGTGTCCTCCCAGGGGCGCCAATTTGTCGTCGGTAGACAAGAGCGGGAAAGCCTCTGTGGCAGTCATGTTTCGTGATAATTAGGTTGCCTCCTCCAGTAAAGAATTCAGCAGATCGTTGATACCATAGAAAGATGTATCCAAGACGGAAGACGGTCAAAGGAATTAGACAGCTGGCGGACGCACTTATACGAAGATTGTGAGATTTCAAGTTTTTGGTGGAGTCTGGGTGAGAAAGAGTGAGATCAACTTTAATTACCGTCCGGGGTGGATCCCGACTTGAATGTTCCGCGTCCGCCATTTTAGCTCCACCCGGCTCTCTCAAGTCCCCTGCCCTCTGGCTCTGTTGCCGTGTCTGCCGTCCTATGAGAGTGGGTTTTTTCCTGAAGGATAAGGTAGACTTACTCATCCTCCCAAGCACCGGCAAGACATCTCAGCCTTCTCGTACCCCGAATTGAGGCTACGGCGCCTTTGGCGCGTAGGTATCGCGCAGCACGACACATACACGTGATCAACATAATCATTCGAAACGGGCCGTAATTGATGTCATGTTTGGCTCCTGAGACGTTGTTCGAATAATCGCTGTTCATGGTATGCTTCAGTATAAGCTTGTCACATTCTTCTCCTGCATTTTATTTTGTCCAATGCCGTTTTGAAGCGCTCCGTAGGCAATGAGCATATCTGACGCAACTTAGGACTAAGCGAGCAGGAGTTCCCAGTCGATTTGTGGCATAATGGCGAGCTCGAGTCAAGTACATCTTTGATTCGTCGAAAGTCGGTACAAATCCTTCTGTAGGCTAGCTGGCAGTCTGACTTGGCCGCAAATGATTCACGTTGAACCGTTTTGAGTTTCCTAGATGCCTCACCAGCCAACCGACTCCCCACAGCACTCACGCAAGAAACAACAAGATACTCGAACATCTCGGTGCTGAATAGTACGAGCCTATGGAGGCCTTAATTTCCGTCCCAGTACCTCCCGTTCCTTGGAATTTCATAGCCGTTGCGAACGGGATTGAGTTGGACCGGAGTCGGCCGGTGTGGATAGCAGGAGCTGTGGTCAAGTCTGATATTGTGCACACATATTACGTTGACATTATTCATTGTTTGAATTTCTGGTTTCTGTCTCCTTGCGCGTATTTCCAGCACATTCCCTTCAAATATTGCTACAATTCGCAAAATTGCAACGCACTAATAAGCTTGCGAAATGGCACGGAAGTGCATATCAGCCTTTCAACTCATCTTGGATCTGCGCAATTTCGTATTCATTCTTCGCCTGTCATAAGATTGTTTACTTGCTGTTTTTAGCGAATGTAGTACCATGGCGCGCTTTATCCTTACAAAAATAGGCAGTGTGGGGTGCCAAGCGCCCTATTTTCTTGAATTGCAAGAAGTCCTACTGTATTTGGGAGCCTACAAATGCTCAGGTCTTTATCTTCAGTTCTCGTTTGCCAATTCAGGGGGACGATGGAAACAGTACAAACACCACGACCGGCTGGTCCTCTTCGCTAGCAATGGAGTCAGACCCTTCTCCGTCGTTGAGATCCATGTTTTCAACCCCTTTCGAATTGAATTGTATTTCTTCAACGGCTGGTGGGCTACTCCATTTCCGCAGAATCGCTTAGTTGTTATTGTGCTCTTTGCGTGCTTAAGCTCGAACCACGCAACCCTCCGCTGTTGGCTATAGAAATCCGCTTCCTCTCACATTGGTAAGAGATAACTGGGAAGTCTTCAGCGAATTAGCTTCCATTTCAGTTGCACAACATGACCGCTAAGATACTGTTCGGCATAGCATGAAGGACGACAGGAGGACCTGCGATTGTCGTCATATATGTATCTTGACATTAGTATGACAGACAAAGGATATGAGGAAAATAAACACCACGTCTGTAAAGGTACGAGTAATATTCTGCTACCAAAGATGGGTGTCAATGACACGACCGAATGTACTTTGATGTCAATGTTTTAATTCCAGCCCTGTCTCACTTATGGAAGTTGAGCTTTACCGCACGACCCCATCAACTATCCCATCACCTTTCAAGTTCGAATAATAGACAGAAGTCTATCATCGTAGATGATCCGACGGCATATGAGTATTACTAGGGAGATCTTGACATGCATCTCTACTTATAGGCACCATTGAAGTTTTTCCCTACCGCCTGGTAAGCCTAGCAAAGTGAAATCTCGGAAAAGAAGTCTGGACTATTCTGTGATGTCTGTCATGAAATCTGTTGGTTTATTATTGATAAAATAGCCAGGACAGACATTAATCATATACATGTAGACGGCCATAAGTAGTTTATTAAATGACTCACGTGTTGATAAGGGCTAAATAGTACTAGCGTCGGTACTTCATCGGCTCCGGAGGGGTGGGGCGTATCCGCGTACAAACTGAACAGCTTCTCGAGCATTCCAAAATTCCTCCACATCCCTCGAGCCTCACAATCCTCCCCAAACACACCACTGCTGTTTTCAGGTTACATATTGTGAGGTTGGCACTGCCTGGTCATAATCTCACCTTATATCAGATTACTCTCTCTGCTTTCCCGTCGGAACCCTAAAGGCTTCAAAGCTAGCTCGTCACCGCTGACCCCACCAAAGGTATGTCAATAATACCCATATTCCCCGATCTCTTCTTTCATGATGATATACAAGCTGGCACCAGTCCTATCGAACGATTTTGTACTCAGTTCTTGAGGAAAATGCTATGACTTCGGTTTCCCTCTGACGCGAGAACCACATGCCATCCCGACTTGCAAATCTGTGTCTGGTTCTTTGCGCTGACAAATTGAATGGACAGCCAAATCGTTCATAAACCTCTCTGATTTCGATACTCCTCGCCCACCATGCTTCACAACCCGAACAATTGGCATTGGGTCAATAAGGATGCTTCGGGCTGGACCAAGCAGTACCTGGAGCAGAACATCAAAGGTATCAAAGCCGAGGAGAATGGAGTCACTGCTCAATTGGATAAGTTGATCAGCATGGACGGAGATGTCGATGTCAACCAACGCAAGGGCAAGGTCATTACCATCTTCGATGTTAAGCTTGTCCTTGAATACTCGGGTATGTTTGGAAGAATCAATGCAAAACCAACCCTGAGCAATGCTGACCAATTCAGGCAAGACCAAGGACGACGAGGACGTTAGCGGCACAATCACTGTCCCCGAGGTTGCGCACGATACCGAAGAAAACGAGTATGTTGTATGTCTCTTCGTCCCCATGGGCGCCTTGTGTGGCCAAACTAACAGTCTCACAGTTCGAGCTAGACATCTACTCCGATGCCAATTCCAAAGCTCCTGTTAAGGACCTCGTCCGCTCCAAGATCCTCCCACAATTGAGAAAGGAGTTTGCGAAGCTCGGCCCTGCCTTGATCGCTGAGCACGGAAAGGATATTCAACATGCTCCCGGCTCCAATCCATCCAGCGGATTTTCGACTCCCAAGTTGCATGTTCCAACCTCAGCCCCAGCAGCCTCTGTGACTCAGACAACCAAGACCAGCTCCTCTATCAATACTACGACCGTCACTGACACCGAAGAGTTCCGCGCACCAGCCACAGAGCTCTACCAAACCTTCACCGACCCCCAACGCATCTCAGCTTTCACACGCGCAGCACCCAAGCTCTTTGAGGGCGCGAAGAAGGGCGGCAAGTTCGAGCTGTTTGGAGGCAATGTTGCTGGAGAGTATCTTGAGCTCGTTGAGCCAACGAAGATCGTCCAGAGTTGGAGATTGGACCAATGGCCAAAGGACCATTACTCTCGCCTTGAGATCAATTTCGATCAGAACGACGTAGACAATGTTACCGTCATGCGTGTCAGCTGGAGTGGTGTTCCCGTCGGTCAAGAGGAAGTTACCAAGCGTAACTGGAGAGAGTATTACGTCCGCAGCATCAAGCAGACATTCGGGTAGGTTTCCTATTCGTATAGCATTTGAAGAACTTTTCACTAATTTGAAATACAGCTTCGGCACAATTCTTTGAAGTAGTGGAGGTAAGAGCGATGTGACGAACAAATGAGATAACGACGGAGGCATAAATGAGGATATGCAAAATCAAGTCCAGGTGGTAAGCGTGCAGTTCTAGATTAGAGCAATCGAATAGAAAGCATTTGCACGGTCAGACTTATTTGACTTAGCCCGCAAGGGGTCACCCGAGATCTTCAGAGCGCCAGTAGACTTTGACCTGTCGATGAACTCTGTTAAACTCTAAATCTCGAAAACCCAAACTTTCACTACCAAGCCAAGGGCTGGACTGACGTCCACAGGTTTGAATCATGAGTTATCTCTCGCACTTTGTACGAGAATGTAGGTGACGTGACGGATCCTGAATATCCCACAAATCCCATATCAACAAACACCGTTTGTGCTCCATACCAATCAGAATCGTAAAACAAATACTGCCCAGCCCAATCCTGCTTGCCGAATCTCGTCCTGGTACCCAAAAATGCACATACACACACATGCACACACACATATATATAGATACATATATGCAAGAAAGACAAATGACTTAGCCTCGGTATTATGCAGTCATTTCTCATCCACATGAAGCATTGACCGTGCTGATACTAAGCTCCGCAGGACACGCCGTCCAAACTCCCACGAGCATGCGAATCCCTGCCAGCAGATCCCACCCCGATATTATTAGGATCGAGCGAGACCCTCCTCCTCGTCAGATGCTGCTGCTCCCCCATTTCAACCGGGCTTTTCAGTACATCGCCATGCTCATCACCAAACGTCCCATGAGTATGCACATGCATCACCCTCGGTCTTTCCAGCAACTCCTGGACCTCGCCCTCCCTCCTCGCTGAATCCTCGACACTCATATTCTCCTTTCCTGCGTCAAGCAAGGTATTACCATTCATAACGCCACCCACACCGTCCTCCTCTCTCCTCAATGCCTCCTCGAAGCGCTGTCGAATTGCAGGATCATTCTGCAACTCTTGGAACAGATCTACATCCGTAGGCCAGAACGCCTTCCTCACACTACTCACTCCCAGCTCCAGTAGAGTGAGTGCAGCGAGTGTGAGGATAAGCACAAGCCACCAGAGCAGATTTCGGCCGTAGCCTTTCAGGAAACCATCTTTGATGGCGTAAAGCGGATAAGTCTTGCCAGGCGTGAAGACGATGGAGAGCAGGAGTGTCCAAAAGAACCAGCCACCTACTGAGATGAGCCAGCCGAGGAAGGAGACTATAGTTTTGTTGTGTTTTTCGATGAGGCTGTGAGACATTGTTAGAGGAATCAAGGGAAAAGTTCTGTCAGCATGTAAGGACATACAGTAATTTGGTGTTGATGAAAATCACCGCTGCCGAGAATGCCAGCGTTCCCATAGCAAGTAAATCATCGTCTCTTGTGAAGATTGCTTCGCCAAACAGCCCAAACATCAAGAAGTAAATAATGACGGATTCTGAGGTCGCCATGAACATCCAGGCAATATACACTTTGAAATTGAACGAAGCATTACGCTGGCCAGAAACATAAAGCTCTGGTACAGCTAGCAACGTCGACGCGTTTAGATCCTGCTCAAATATTCCGAGAAAGATAACAGCAAGGGACGTGAACAGCGTGTTGAAGACAGTCAAAGACGTGGATTCGAATAGCGATGTGCCCGTGTACCCAGCCCATTTCTGGTAAAATGCTTGCAGGAGGTAGAAGAGCAGTTCTTTCCAGAACGTTGCTAAGATATATTTCGCTGTTCTCACGTAGTTCCAACGGCCGTGAACAAACAGGAGGCGTTGGAGGAAGCGGAACTGCGCGATGGAGTAATCAGCAATTCTAGCGGCTTGCAGTCCCTCTTTCCCGCTGATTCCAATACCGACGTGAGCGTCTGTAATCATGGCGATGTCATTGGCACCGTCTCCAATGGCCAGGGTGAGAGACTTCTTGACCTTCGTTCTGACTCTCTTGACTAGCGAAGCCTTCTGACTTGGACTGGCGCGACAGCAAATGACCGAGTCTACGAGAACCACCAGATCGAAGAATAGGAGAGCTAAAGTCTCGTTGTTGTCGATTTCGGAGAGTGTTTGTCCATCAACAACAATTACAGAATGAGGTATTGCCCCTTTACTGATGTCAAGTAAAGTTGATGCCATGAGTTGCTCAACTTCACCAGTGGTATAGTCAAGAACAACAATCGTCGAGTAATTCTTGCAAATACGAGCACTGTGGCCGATGTTGATGGCAGTTTCTCGCTTGTCGCCAGTCAACATCCAGATTTTGATGTTAGCTCGCCTCAGCTTGTCAATTGTTTCGGGAACTCCTTTCTGCAACTTATCCTCAATAGCAGTGGCACCAGCGAGATCAAAGTTCTGCTCGATCAGCTCTCCAGCATTCTCGATCAGGTCCTGGCGGTCGACAAGGCTAGTTGTAGCATCGAGGTATATTTTCTTCCAGCCTAAGATCTTGTCAGCATGCAATGCTCCAAATTTAGATTAAAAATTATGCAAAGCAACAAGCTTACCATGATATTCCTGCTCATCCAGGAACCGGTATCCATACAAGAGAGTCCTCAAACCCTCGGAAGCAAAATCATCGATATGCTGGAAGCAGCGTTCGAATACAGCCGAGTCATCCAGGACCAACCTCTCTTCAATCATATCATCCAAGCGTCCTTCCATAGCCGAGATGCCGCTGATACTCGAAAACCTGCGGTCACCAGATCCAAAAGACGGTCTAGCCATAGATACTCTGGGAGAATAGGCGCCAGATTCATCGGATACGGATTCCACATCACTCTCTTGCCTCCTCAACCAAGTATCCAGCTCGTCACGGATAGGCTGTAGCCTTGAACTGGCCATACTCGGCCTCCCACCAATACTTTTCCTGTTAGCGGTCATGCTGGGCCCGTTCAAGCTCATGCTGTTCCTAGGACTACTCTCGCTCATTCGCCGTAAAGCTTCTTCAGCTTCAATGCTTTTCCTCTTACTTGACCGTCTCGAGATTTCATTTTTCTTTTGAAGGGCCAACGGGGCCAGCTTCAGACGTGGCATGATGGCCGAATCGGCTCCTTTGCAGAAAATGCATATCCTGCCATTTGGAAAGCGGACGACAATAGACATGCGCTTCCGTTTACTTGAAAATTCAATAACGTCTAGAATATCATAGGTTTCGGTGACTTGTTCGCCAGAGTCTGGTCCGCCTGGACCAGGATGCGATAAAGTGATCGACTTTGCAGGTCGATCGATAACCAGGTAGCCAAGCTCCTGCGCTGCCTTGACTAGTGCCAATTCATCCGGAGAAGCAGCTTGGAATTCGATATCTCCATTCTCTTGCACCTCGGGAAGGCAGGTATGGCAAAGAGCCAGTGAGAGAAGGAAGAATTTTGCTTTCTTCGTGAAGACACTGTGCGGCTTATGATGCATGAAGTTGAGTAAATCCTCAGTTCGCATCTCTGGCTGCGCTTTGGAAGGTCTGGCAGATGATTTCCATAGATTTATAGATCCAGATCGGCGAATGGACAACGATGGGCGGACTGTAGAGCTCGACATGGCAGATTCTTTTCGTACATTTTCCGGCCGGATAGTTGTCTTCTTCTTGGAAGACAGCTTCATAATGCCTTTGCCTTTCTTCTTTTCGCTCTTTTCGGCTGCGCGGTTTTTTTCGCCTTCACGTTCCTCCTCAAGCTTTGCAGCTTCTTCTTGTAAATCGAAATCGTGCAACCACGCATAGCCAGCCACGCTAAGCTTCCGGAATTTCATTATGTTGTCGGTGAGGGTTCCAGTCTTGTCTAGAATGAAAAGTGAGTCTAGGATGACTCTTTGAAGTAATCTTAAAAGTATCAAGATAGCTAGGGACATTCACAGGGATACGCACCAGAGAATATGTAATTGACTTGACCAAGGTTTTCTAAAATAGTAGTAGTCTACAGAATGTCAGCAACTATCCCAGTGACACGCGAATCCACTATCTTAGCTCTCTCATACTCACGTTGCAAGTCATGGGCGTATCGGAAACCGGATCATACATCTCAATATCACTCATAAGCACCAATTGTCCCACCTTGATGATTTCCAAACTAACATACAACGACAGCGGAATTAGCGTATTGTAGAGAATAATAAACCCAATAATAATCTGTGCAAAATTGACGTGCAGACCCTCGAGATACCATGCCTTGCTCTCGGTCTGATTCGACCATATCTGGTAGGCGATGGTGCAGAAGAGCGCGAGGATGACGACGAAGACTACGAGCATGATGACGATCTTGTTGGTGACGAATTGGATGGCTGGGGCTTTGGTTCGAGGGTTCTTATTGGCGTTCATGCGGATTTTGCAATCTTCGCCCGTATTGATGACCATACCGATAGCTGTTGAGGTGTTCCTCAGTGTACTGCCTCGGAAAATGACTTCGTTGGTCGTGAGCGGTAACGTCTCTCCATCGACAGTGACTCTCCCGTCGAAATTGTACAGATCGATGTTGGGATCTTCAACTACGATGTGTGCTCGGCAAGCAGCGATTGCTTCTTCAGTAGTGCAACGCTTGGCTAATGGAGGGGGGGCTTGCTTGCTCTTCAGATTGGTCTCGCCATCTAGAGCCATAGTTTCGATGTAGGCGATACCATTGGGTCCATCAGCATTGAGGAGCACCACGTCTGCAGGTATGGGGTCATCGCGGCGGAGTTTGATGATGTCTCCTACCTTTATATCCCTCCATTTCAGTATCATCCAATGCCTTGACTCCTCAGATTCTTCAGCACGGGAAAACTCTTTCAAGGATGATTTCATCTGGCCTTTGGACGGCACCATACCCTTCAACTTGCTCCCGAGGTCTTTCGGGCCAGCTAAATGAGCAGGACGAAACGAATGTAGAACCAGCGTCTCCCTGTTATTCTCGACTTTGTCTAGCTTGTACCGTCGATAATCATCGTACCCTTCCTTGCCCATGCTAATAGCCACGAACACCAATAGCGGAGCAATCGTCGTGTAAGTACCTGTCGTACTCAAACCCGGAATCATCTGGAGAATAGACACCAGGAGAAAATACGCATTTGCCAACTTCGAAAACTGAAAGAACAATTGTCGAGGCAGGAAATTCCACACTGTATATCGACTCGATCGGATCGAGTTCCCGATGTGATCCTTACCAGTCCTCTCATCCAGCGGAGGTCTTGTGCTCGAGGCATCGAGATCTATATGCCGCCCATCTTTCGAGGGAGGAATTGGCGTCTGCCGTAACACTGTCATAGTGAATTTATCCTTCCACATTTTAGCCTTCTGTAGGGGCTTATTCCCCCTTATCCGTTTCCTTGCCCAGACATCATAATTCGGCAAATTCAAAGTCCCAAACGTCCTCTCTTTCCCCTTCGAAGGTAATGAATCCGTGCAGCTCCCAGATACCTCAGTTCTTGACACAGCCGTATCATTCTCCTCAGCGATAGGTGTCACAGCCGAAGATGGCCGCATGCCCTTCTCCTCCTCTAAATGTCTCGCTGCCGCATTTTGCTCCTGGGAAGAGCTGGCTTCTACAAGCTCGAATGGGCCGTCGTCTGGTTTACTGTTTATCGCCCTCGTAAACAGCGATCGCCGCAGCGAGTACCCTCTATCTCTCGTCCGAGGCGAAGTGGGTGAGGCTGGATTCGCGGCTCTAATCGGAGGGTTGGTACCAGCGGGTCTAGGAGCCTCGACTGGCCTCTGAGGAAGCGCCTGAGTATCGATCGTCAAATTCGGCATTCCAGCTCCCTGTTCCGGAATAGATGGAGACATTACTACCAGTTCCCTCTCCGCGTCCTGCGAGAATCGAACCCGGTGGGCATCTCTGTCTTGCGAAGCTCTCGAATCCATTGTTCTGGCCGAAGCGCTCGCAGGATCTGTCGCAGACCTGCGAATACCATGAGTAGTTCTCGAATCTCCACCGAGATTGCCCGCCATGACGATGCTGGCTTGTATGTCTGCATTCGAAGGGAAGTCGAGAAGTTGATTCTACCGCGCAATCGCCGAGAGGTTAGGTGAGACCGCCAAGTCGGATAGGTCACTGTGCGGCCATGCGACTGGTAGAATGAACGATCATGCGTTCTCTCGAGGTGGAGTTTAAATAAGCTAGATCATCCTGGGGGAAATGGATTGAGCTTGGTGGTCTCGTATTGCTGAGGTATATACGCAAGCGATGGTTGTGGTCTCTGGATCGCTTCTAAATCAACCGGCAGAGTGGCTGTGCAAAGGAGCATTTTATTTTAGAATTCTACACTACCACTCCTCCAGATCAATTGTTCACTTAGTCCTTTTCCGTCTAATTATTCTTGTACGTGATAACTGCTCCCTTTTGGTTGGAATCCTTGGATTGATCCCAGACTCTTTGGAACTCTTTCCCATGAAAACTGTACAGCGAACCTTTATATCGTCTGATCTGAAAGTCGACGACGTCACTTGACAACCAGATCGGAGCGAGCTGCGGAAGTAGAAGAATTCCAAACTCATTTTTACCTCATATATGAAGTATCACCAGGTCTAGAGCTTAACAGTCGAAACGACGTGTTCGAACGCGCAATGGGGGCCCAGTGACACTTTCATCCGGAACATACCTACCTACCTACCGGCTAGTAAACCCCACGTTCCCAGCACAACCAGTAGCCGCCTCACGTGCGGACCTTTTCTGATATATCGTCTACCTTAGCTGGCTTATTTGAGCCACGTTAGGCCGAGATTGTATGTGTAATTGGCAGGACATGGCTCAGTTCTCGATAATGAATTTTCCTTTATTAAGCCCACCATGATATCATCATGCTCTCGCGCAAACTAGCAAACCGTTCGAAGCAACAGCAACTCTTCCTCCCGAGTATTTTTGACAAAAACGTTAATTCCACTCCCTCCTGTAGACTTCCAGATTTATCTCCCCCTCCACTTCCTTTCCATACCAGCATCTCCTCTGGAGACAGAAAAAAAAGATGAAGATACGCCTCGGTACAGAGACAAAACACCCAAAACGCGCCAGGAAAACCAAAAGAAAAAAAAATAGGAAGCGATCGCTGTGCCAGCCAAGCATGATCCAGATAGAATTTATCGTCATGTAGGTTCGTGGCATAAGACTAAACAGAAAAAAAAAAAGTTGGCCAAAAAGGGTCTTCGTGTCCGTGGCGACACGAGTAATTAGGCGGAGCATAATTCAGACAAGAATCGAAAAGTCCACGCAGGCCGTCAGTTATGTACGACTGAACAAAACACCCATCCACAAGAACGCCTCCCATATTGTGCTCCGTCAAACAAATCCAGCTTCGGTAAGAGACAGGTATCTTCCTCGGCTTCCACCGCTAAATGCAGCCAAACCCGGGTGCGATAAAACACGGAGCCGAGGGTTTGGACCAGCCACAATAATGAACGCAATCTGCCCTGATTGACTACTGAGTGATGTTTTCAGGCGAGAGGCTAGCTGGATTATCATCGAACGAGACGAGCTGGTTCATGTCCATATCTGCTTGCGACTGCTCGGCAAATGCTGGGGAATGAGGATGCATCGGAAGGTTGAGAGTGTGTTTCGAGTACATCTCATTCAGTCCAGTGCCGTCGTCAGAGATGTTCGAGTGATCGTGCGACATGTTATACACGTCCGCAGATGCACTTCGATGCATCATAGACATAGGCGGGGATTGGTCAACGATGGCTGGGTCACCATGGCTCATGAAAGACAGCGGTGAGACGGATGGCTGAATCATGTGTCCAGATTGGTCCGCCATTGGATTCGGTGACAGGTATGGGACAGTAAACGGGGTGTTGTTATACGAAGATGCAGGAAGAGCGCCTGTATCAGGTCCTTGCGAGAAGAATCCAGGACTGGCGAATTCTGATGGCGAAGTGGTTGTAGCCGCAGACATAGGGTACTGTCTGAAGTCCATTCCATATCCCGATGATGTATCGATCCGGAGATTGGGTCCCAGAGGCCCCAGATTATTTGGCTGTTGTGGGACTGGTGCAAAGATGTTCGGGTTGTGCTGTTGTTGGTTCTCGCTCGGATGTTGAATGAGGAAGGATGGCATTGGGTTGTTGAACATGGAAAAGTCAACAGCCATCGGCACTGATCTACTTCTCTGTCTCTTATGTCCAGGTCCGCCGCGGTGACCTGGATTGACATTGACACCCCACTGCTCTTGGAACATACCAACATGAGCCTGGGCATTATAGTTTGGCTGAGAGGCTGGACGCAGACCAATAGGGGAGACCGGTGCCGAGACGGACATTTGTTGCTGTTCGAATGGGTTGTGTCGGGTCATGAACGATTCGAGGGAAACCAGCTTGGCAAGTTGACCACTCAAAACCTTGGGATGACCTCCAAGATGATGAATCATTTGCTGCGAGGCCTGTTGGTCTTCTGTAAAATCACCACACTGGAAGAAACCACCGGATCCGGATGAGTCCATGAAAAAGTTAGGAGGTCGATTCAGCTCAACCACCAATCCACCGGGCTTTCCGGACTCCATATCTCCATTTTCCAGGAAGATATTCTTGATGAACGCGAAAGGGTATTCAATCTTGTAGCCAGCTTGATCGTTGTTAATGTAATATGTCATGCATCCCTTTTCTGGTGAGTAGAAGATGATGAGATCCATCGCATTTTGGCCTACTCGTCTCCAGGATCCGATGCTCAAAGATCGACATGATAGATGGTGAATAACTTTACATCAGTTAGCACGCGATGTTCATGATATGCAGCATGTTATTATCACTTACCGACTTTCCCTTGTGGGCCCTGATCGCCTCCCATCATGAGGCTGCCACTACCATAAGGCATCAGGCCTGAACGACCCAGGAAGTTTCCTCCCAACGACTTCCCAGACTCCATTGCTTGAATAGCAAGGTATTGACGCATTGATTCTGGAATGGCATCACAATCCTCTCCCGTCTCGATGCTCTTCTTGGCCAACAATTTTATCTTTGCGCGCCTGAGAGTGTGAGTTTCTAGTCATGAGCAGAACTCCGCGCTGAACTCACCTGTTCTGGAACCAGATCTGGACGGAGCGCTCTGTCATGTTGATATCTTCGGCAATTCGCTCCCTGACTGTTGCAGTTGGCGTTGGATTCTTGTTAAATTCCATCTCCAGAGTCACCAGTTGATCTTGAGTGGCACGTTGTCTCTTCTGGTTCTTCTGTTGCTGGGTTAGAGTGCTCTTCCTGGGTGGTCTGCGGGATGCCGATGTGCTGCCAGCCGAGTTTGACGCGGTCGGACTGGGTGTTGATGACATCTTGGTGGCCGCATCCTCCTGCGATATTTCCGACATGCTCTTGTGGTCTTCTGTAGTCATATCCATCGTTGCTTGCGATTGTGTCTCGGATTTCCAAGTGAGACTATCTTGCTGTGATATCTGTGTTAGATCCTTCTCTCCTCGGATGCAAATAATTGTTCCGAAGGACTGAATGAGTGGACGAATCGCTACTTGCGAGTCGAGAGGTGGTGTTGTGATCAAATCGATTGTATCAAGGGTGGTGTATGCAATGGTGGTGGAAATGCGTCGCTGGAACTAGCAGGAACAGGAGAACGGTAAGTATTGAAAATGGAACGGGGTGATCGTTGTTGAAGATTGAAATTCGTAAGGTAGACGAAGGAGCGTGGTGTGTAAGGACTGTGGCTCCGATTGTAGCCGGAAGACTGTGAAAGAAAGGAAGAGTTGACGGCAAGGTAGATGCGTCGATGGCAAGCGGTGGTGAGGATGCGAGAGGACGAGCAGAGAAGAGGAGAGGATGAGGATCACGGAACGAAGGTGGGTAAGGTAGGTGGTAGGTTAGTTAGTTAGGCAAGAAGGGTGGAAGGGAAGGGAGAAATGCCAAGAGTTTGAGTAGCGCAGTGGTCTGTGCTGCCCACACAGAGCGAGCAGAGCAGAGCACCAGCGCAGTAGAGCATCGCCGTTCCTCGTCGCGGGCAGGCACAGGGGGAGGGGGGTGTAGTGGGTGGCTGTCGATGTCGATGTCGATGTGGATGTGGATTATGGAAGGAGGGACAGGGGCGTGGACATGGGCATGCCCTGGGCATGGGCATGGGCATGGGCATGGGGATGGGGGCTAGCCCGGAGCTTCCTTCTCTGCACGCTGCGCTGCACACTACTACTGTACTGCACGGCAGCAGCAGCAGCACGCATGCTTTATTACTGTACTACCTACTACTGGACTGCAAAGTCCAGCATGTTGCACCGCACCTGCCCTGGCTTTGGCGCACCTCAGTACCTCCCCTCCGTACCTGCCAGTGCCTACAGAACCTAAATTACCTACCTGCTTTACCACAGTACAGTACAGTACAGTACAGTACAGTAGTGAGCCTGGTGGCTCCAGTCCATACTGGAACCAGCTGGTCTTCTTCAACTTTTTACACCTCCGCTGTCGCTACCTAGGCAAAGTAGGGTTCAGTAGAATACCTCCGTAGAGAGTGGTCTGCGATCGGCGACAGGCGCCCTTGAAGCTCTCAACAAGTCTCAAGTCTCAAGTCTCAAGTCTCGAAACAATACCTTATGGCTATTGTACTTGGACTCCGACGAAGATAAATTTACCTGCGAGCCTGCCTCGCCCAGGTCCACGATGCCTCTTGCGTCTTGACAGACAACACATCCCACCCTCGGCAGCGCTGGAGAGTCACAGAAGGAAAAGGGGAGACTTGTTGGCCATCCTTGCCCTGGCCCTTTATCCTGAACCTTGCACGTTCGCGCGTCGCTGGTGCTGGTGCATGGCTCGCAACCAGACCGACACGCACCCAGGCCCAATGGATTCAGGAATCCCGGCAGATATGGCATGGCAGCGCAGGCATCATTGGCATCGCAGCCGCCCCTGAACGAAGTCGACACTGCTGGCTGGGACTGGACTTGCTGGCGGCTCCAACATCAGACCAGCCAGCCTAGCCAGCCCAACAACAGACGAATTTAAACGCCTGGATCTGTGCTGATCTGCTGTGTGTGCGCGCGCCTCAGGGCTCTGGAGGCCAAGAAAAATTCATGGTTCACGAGATCGAAGAGGCCACACCACTCCCTCAAGCTCCTATAATAGTACTGTATGTTACTTTCCTGCTCAGGGCTTGTCTTGTTACCTCAGTGCAAGTTCTCAACATACCGACGTGCCGTAGCAGCTGCAATAATCAACCGGCCGTGTCTTGCATGTCGGATGTGTCGTGGCGGAGATCCTGAGTCTGTAAGTACAGGAGGAGACAACAAGATATTCTACCTCCATGGCTAGATCAGGTCTCTATGTCTTCCCATGTTTTGTTCCCAAGACTGCCTAATTATTGCCTACTACAGTACTGGTCGTCAGCGAGCAAGAAGCTGACGATGCGATGATGCGCGGTTGTGTTAGGGCGCACCACGGCGAACACAGACTGAGCAGCTGCTGGTTCCTCTCTAGTTTCAGTTTCTACTGTACGGACAGTAGTGGCATCCAATCGAGAGTTCGGACGAAGATCCCTGGACTTCTGCTTGCCGCCTTTCAGACCAATGGGCTCGCACAAGGGCTCAAGAAGCCGACAGAACGAAAATAGAACGCTGCCCTCCCTCAACATCCCGTCAGCGATTCGAGCACCCACAGAAGAGTTGATCCTTGGGGCAAGTTGGGGCTGACTGCCATGGTGCCGTGTCCACAATGCGAGGCATTCTACAGGCTGAAGCCGACGCCTCCTGACGACGAGTGCAAGGGCAAGGGCAAGGGCAAGGGCGAGACGTCGAGAAGAAGGGCGAGGGCAATGTTCTGTTCTGTTCTGTTCTGCGCGGCTTCTATTTTTCCAGCCAACTATCCTGGCCTTGGATCTGTTAGCCAGGGGGACCAGGGGTGTACTGTACTGTACTTTCGTACTGTACTGTATTCCTGGCCTGTATTTGTATTCCTTGGTCAAGGTCAAGGTCAAGGTCAAAGTCAAGGTCAAGGTGGAGGTGGCCAGGCCAGCCAGTCGAAGCGGCGAACACGCGATGTCCGGCGTCCGGCGTCCCCACTTCGCTCCCCAAGCCCAAGTTCAAGTTCAAACGCCAGACGGGTACCTGGGCTAGCGCCCCTCCCCTCCCTAAGCTGCGGTGCGGTTTCTGTGCCTGGCTAGCCAGTTTGGGCGTCATCTTGGTCTTGATTCGCTACCTAGCGAATGCGGTGTGCGGTGACTACCTTAGATGCGGGCGAGATAGGGGTAAGCGGCCGCTTCGTCTTTTCGCTGCGCTGCGCTGCTCCCCTCCCCTCCCTTTCCTTTTTTCCGCCCATCAGATCGGCGTGTTGACCCAGGACCTGGACACCTCCCATGAGTCCCATCCCATCACACCCCACCGAGCCCACCACGCCGCCAGCCCAGCCGACAAACACGTCGAAATCCAAAAGTCCTGTCGCGATCGAGACATCACATGTCACCGCTCCGTCAACTGCTACAATCTCACAACTAGCGCCAGAATCAACGAAGAAGATGCTGTCTTTCAAACGGGGAGAACAGAAGCAGCAACATCTCCGAACCATAGACATAATCCGAGAGCTGCTCAGCTGAGCTGTTAGCCTTATACGATGACGTTCGCGGAGCGTCGTTTGAGAACACTCCATTAACCATACGCCGTATCGCCCGATTCAGATCGCGGCATGGATTTGCCCCATCGACCCTCTCATGGAAACAGCCTCATGATTCCCGAGCAGGGCCTCCCAGCTTGTGCGCACAGATATCGCACACGTACAAATACTTCCCATTGTTTAGGCTTGAGATCGATCCTTATGCGCGGTCGACATAGACATACGGAGGTAGGGTATGTCTCCAACAGGATGTCTCGACTTGAAGAGTGGCGTTAAGGGTACCATCCCATTATGGGTACCTTGCCTGTTGGATGGAATAAACTCACCGTAAGACGCCCTCTTTCATGCAGCCTGGTCTTCATTTATCTGACCTTCATCCAAAGTCAGAGCTTGTACAGCTAGGCAATAACCTTGCAGTTCGGCTAGGTTTTTTGTAGGTTGGCAGGACTTCATGTCGCTTCCCGTCTCCATCCCGACCAGATGTTTGCTACTATCCTTACTTACTCACAGCACGCGGCTCACATCTCCCCAAAAGGAAAGAAAAGAAAAAGATACCCTAGAAAGACATTGTACCGTACCCCAACCCAAAAAATGCGTTAATTCCTCCGACGTCTTGACGCTCCCCAAGACTCCTCGTCCACGGTTCACGCAAGGCATAATCCACGCTCCGCGTTTGATCTCCATCGCAAAGTACAACCCTGCATTAATCCAACAACAAAAATACTACGCTGTCACGCCCTACATGCCGATTCCTCGCCTAACAAAATCCAGTAATATAGCATTCCCAAAGACCAACAATCACAAATATTCCTTTTAAGTTGGGTTGCACTCCCGAGTCATTCCAAAATTCGCATAATAACTGATACCGCCTTGCCTAGACCAGGCTGTAAGAATTCAACCTCCTCTGGACTTCGGGAGGGGCTAAGTGGCTGAGGATTCTTTGTCAATGCACGATTCGCGGACTCGGTAAGGGCTTTTTAATGCTTGTATATTAAGAGCTCCGAATATAGCTTGGATGATCAGATGGAGCCCCTCGCTTGATATTCTCCGAATGTGTGTGCGTGCTTGCGAGTTTCGTTTTTACCTTTAACTTTATGCCGCGAGGAGGGATGTGTGTTGAACGATTGTCAACGACTGACACTTGACACTTGACACTGGCGATCAGTTTGTATTTAGTTTTGTTGTGTTTTGGAGATGTGGGGTTGTGGAGTAAATGCGAAACTCAAGTGATGTTTTTGGATGAGGAAATCAGATCGTCGTTTTTTTGTTGATGCCTCGTCGTTTATGACTTGGAATCATAGGCAGAATTCTTGAGTACGTACTGCACCTCCATCTATGCCTCAGATTTGTCGGCTATATGGGTCTGTTCTCTTTCCCTGATGAGCTGGTTAAAGCTTTTCGTTCCTCAACATAAAGTGGGACCTAAATCAGTTGTTCCTAATCCGTGGCTTCACATTTTGCTACCGTTCAGTTGAATGCCTTCAAACCAGAAGTTTCCTGCAACTACAAGCTATATATTCATCGATAATTCTATCGTTCTTGTCTTTGACTGGTCCTTCGAATTCTCTGTACAAGTCATCTTGGCAATTGATGTCTGACAAAGTATCTGCATGCTCTGTCCAACGCTAGTTAAGGACTGGTGTTGTATCGATCTGGCATGCGTTTACAGATATGCTCTTTGGGGACGAGGAATTTGAAGAAGTATCATAGTAAAACTTTAAGTGAAGGGAAATATGAGACGTTTTGGCATGATGGTCAAAGACGATGAAAGTAGGTAGAGATAGCAAAACGACAGAGGGATCTGCCTATTTAAGCCAACTAGACTAGTCCCCAATGGTAGGTTAGAAGTAGTCATGATGCAGCATTGAAGGGAATGGGACGGAGAAAGCTCAAGATAGCACCATCTCTGGTATACTGTTAGCAACGTTGCAGAAACCAGCAGCAACGTAAGAGACTGGTCTGGAATTACAAGAAGCTTCCAAGACTAGACTACACGAATTGCTGGGATGACTACGCTCGAATGCGCGGAGGACCACGAGTTTGGCGAGGCGGAGATATCCCAGCTCTCTATATTGTAGAAGAGAGAATGTTATCGAGTCACCATATTGCAGTATCCTGGGAGTTTAAAGTCAGTCTTGCTTGACGTGGAGGATGAGAGATATGATTATGTGTATGCACGAAAGGCTGATGAGTCTTCAACATTAGAAGTTATCCTGGTGTTTTAAAAACGATTGCTCGATGAAGCACAATTCTCAACCCTAGAATCGCGAAATCGACACAGGAAACACATAAGACGCGGATGAGGGTGTATTGTCTTCTTCCTGCCGACAGACTTCGAAGCTGGAACCGCACCTGCTGAATATGACTACCCGAGCAACGCAACACTTCGACTGCTCTACAACATCATGCCCAAAACACAAGAAAATCACAGAACAACATGGTCCCAGGCTAGAGGAATACCAATGTTAGAGACTTGTTTCCTCACTAAAGTCTAAATTCTGTCGAGCGGGGACGGAAAAGGGAGACCCGCGCTTAATATATATCGCAATGCGTTCCGAAGGTCTAGAAAGAAACGCCAGGCATGGCGGGGTAGTTATATCCCTGCCTGCCACCCCTTTTCATAATATCAGAAGGGCAGTAAGTTAAAGAACCATCGAATTTCGAGCCGAGTGCTTGGAGTTACCACGCCTGGGTACTGGATATGGCAAGGCACATTAATAGACTGTGCTATATACAGGGTGGTGACGGGGAGTTTCACTATTCGGTACAGTACATTCTGCATGTGGCGGGATTTGAGAGGTGAGTTTTGGAGGGCGAATTTTTCTAGTTTGGTAAGAGGACTCGAGAGAAAATGAATAGGACACGATATGGTGGTGAAAAATTTCTGACATGCTCCTGGTGGTGCAACTTGATTGATATTGTTGCTTCAGTTTCAGGTCGAGGATGAAGGATGTTCGTCCACCAACCCAGGACATGTACAACTTCAGAACCCTCGACTGATAGATCCAAAACTGATCTGTATGTTCGGATAAATATGCCCCTGGTCTGTGGTGGCTAGCCTATGCCAGATATTCATTCTGAACGGGAAAAAGCATGCATGTAGCTTTCTGAAAATGCTTAGCCGGTGAATCAAGGTTGTCAGATGTTGGGTTCGCTCCGACGTCCATCTCTCTATCGCTCGAACGGACTTGAAGGGTCTGGGGCTTCATATCCACGTCTGATAAGAAAATTGCCCAATCGCTGCTCTATTCTAGCAAACTAAGGGGCAATGTTAGCGAAGGTAGGCGTACAAGTCAAGTAATCGTAAGTGAAATAAAGGCTCACAACGCTCGTCTCCTCTCTCGGCACTACCCCATCTTTAATGAAAACGGCATAGCTACCCATCAGATTCGCCAACATAACATCCGTCGTCAGCCTGTCACCAACAACTGCTATCTGGTCCGGTCTCGTGACTCCTGTCTCGGGATGCTGCCGGAAGTACTCCATGATCTCGGGACCACAGCCAGGCTTCTTCGTACTATGAGGTAAGACCGTCACACCTGTTGCTCGAGTGACTGAGTTGGCGAGGTTGCCTTTTGGGTCGATGGATGTAGCACCTGAGGTGTTGGACACGATTAGAAGGCGTCGGCCTGGGTAAGCTTCGCGGAGACGCTTGAAATTGTCCTGATTTGCGTTAGAACGTCGGTTCATAATTTACCACGAATGGTTGAGATAGAGGTGGATCGATTTACTTCTGGAAGCTAAGGGGCAAAAGAATTGGAGAGTGAAAGTTTCCAAACTAACTCGAAGACAGGCAGAAAGCGGTCATCGAAACTCACTTCATAAGGCTCATAGACAGTGTTAGAATGTGGAACAGCAAAACAATTATCCTTGTCCAGAATTACAGCTCTGATATCGACATTTTTGTACTTTCCAAAGGCAGAGTTCAACGGAACAGGTAACTGATTAAACGTTGAAACAGTGGCATGAGGAAGACATAGAGAAGGCTTTGTGATGAGCCGAAAGAGATTCAACGTAGCCGAGACATTGAAAGCGTTCATATCCATGAGCTTCGTGGTAACATTACCTTTTATTAAGTTGAGATGAGAAGGCTGCAAGTAAACGTTGAGATAACCTTCAAAATGACGCTAGTGAGACGAGAGCTTCAAATCGCTAGCGTCAATATTTTGAGATTGCAAGCAACGGCAACCTCAGATCTCAAACTCGACAGCCACCCCACTCCGCAGCCATTCGTCGCAATCAAGAGAGGTAGCTACGGGATCGCAGATACATAATCAACGACAATGACGAGCACAATCGGTATTCCAATCAAGCTGCTGAACGAGGCGCAGGTTCGTTGCCTTTTCTCCACCCCGCCGTCTTCTACCCCACGCAGTTTCCAGTTGGCTTCGCAGATGGGCAGGCTAATGTTTACGCCCTTAGGGACATGTCGTTACTTTAGAGATCACGTCGGGCCAGGTCTACCGTGGCAAGCTCCTTGAAGGTTCGTCTTTTCGCATCTCGAACTCAAGCCCCTTCCCCACCCGCCCCCCGAATCGAGGACTGTAGAATGCGGAGTGGACCGGTGCTGATAGCTTATAGCGGAGGACAACATGAATGTGCAACTGAAGGATATTACGGTTACTGCGCGCGACGGCCGTGTCAGTCATCTGGATCAGGTCTACATCCGCGGATCACATGTGCGCTTCTTCATTGTGCCAGACATGCTTAGGTTCGTGGCTATTCCTACAAAAAATCACAGATAATCATACTCTACGGATATCTGTGATCTATATGCTAACTTGCCGCCTGCAGAAATGCTCCTATGTTCAGAAGTAGAGGCGTGAAGGGCAGAGGTGTCGGACTGGCTCGAGGAAGAGCCACGGTCAGCAGGGCAAGAGCAAGTGGACGTGGAGCACCGAGAGCAGGTTGAAGAATGGGTCATGAATTGGGGGTATAAATGAAGGCTTGGGTCAATTTGATACGGCGTTTAGAGGAAAAGCCAGGCACGTTTGCTTGGTCCATTGGCTACACACCATGAGCAGTCGTATGCCACAATATCAATGCAAAATCTTTTACAAGACCATAATCTACTCTAACTCTAGTTGACCTCACTTCTAAATGCAATTCTGGCATATCTAGTAGCAAATGGTGATTACAAACAGCTCCCTGGATGCTTTTTTAGGGATTGACATTCAATCACGTGGATATCTCTAATTTTACTAAATGGCATCAATGAATCGTCGGGTTTCATTCTCAACAACCAACACATCAAACATGGAAATCTCACATCCCCGCCGTATACTTGCTGTCAGTCGGCCAGATTCTGGGCTACTAGATCTAGTTCAAGGTAGGGCATCAACGATCAGCATGTCATGAAGATGGTCTGACTCGTTGATTTATGACGCAGGTTTGACAGGCTCAGCACCAACCCTGACAACAGACACCGTAGCAGGAGCAACGCACAACTGGCCCATCACAACGGGCTACTACACCGCAACTATTCCCATCTGGCTAGACGAGATATCCGATGCTTCTGTCTGGTCAGCTGATTTCCTGGCGCCAGAGGCGAGGGAAGTGCTCACCGTGCTGGGCGCCTTTGTTGTTTGTTTTCGGAAGCCAATCAATGAGGAAGGTTTGAGGGAAGTGAAGAATTTGATGGAGGGTGTTGCGGAGGTTGTTAAGGAAGGTTGTGGCTTGATGTGGGATGGAGTTTGCTTGGCTGTCGGGATGCCGCAGTCTACAACGCCGTATTTGGAGAAGAGCTTTGACGAGTGGGAGGAGTTGTGTCAGGAGTATGGGTTCGAGTTCGTGGATTTCGAGAGTAAGGGAAGAAATCAGTACTCAGGTACTTCAACCCCAAAGTCTATTTTGAATGTCAAAGTGCTGATCTCTCAGAACCGATGGGCATGGAGCGGTTGAAGGAAGCCTTAGAGGCTAACGATTGGGAAGGCAATGATGAGCTTGGCGAAATTATTGACCTTGATGGTCTTGAGGATGGTAGTGACGATGCGGGAAGTGTTGGGTTCGGTCTTGATGCTGCGGACAAAGCGGAGATGGAAAAAGAGATGCGTGGAATGAAGCAGGCTATCTATGGAAGCGGTAATGATGGTGAGGAGGAAGAGCCTAACGACAAAGATGTTGAGGACTTGCAAGCTCTCATGCTGAAGATGCAGGCCGTAAGAGGTGAGTCACCTCTTCCTTTCCAAGCATTCAAGCTAAAAGATACAGATCTCGGAGCAGATATGCCTGAAGTAGAGAGGAAGAAATTTGCGGCAAAGGCTGTCAGAGATATCATGAAGAAGTTATAGAATTTTGTCCCTACAATCTCGCCGTTTCAAGAGGTTCCCATGAAGGCGACATATTTTTCAAGCTATGATCCAATAGGATTTTGGAATACCACCAGATGCGGAAGTTGGATTACGTATCGATTCCGTGAATCACCACAACCATGAAGTTTGTATTCTTAGATCCGATAATCTGCTATCATGATTCGTTATGAGAGTTTCACAAGAAACGGTTGAGGGTCTGACAAATTGGACGGCTAAGTTTGGTCTCAGGGTACAATACTATCAGTACACAGCTCAACGGCAATATATGAACAACGTCGAGTTCCAGAAGACTTGCTATGGGAAAGACTCTTCATATCCGTGACTTTCACTACAAGTTTCGGTAAGCAACCCATATGACGAATGACTACCCAGTTGAAAGTTAACATCTTTCAGAAAACGCCTCACGAGTTGCTGGTTCCACATGGCTAGACTGAACCCTACCATCCTCGCCCTCCTACTTGCATCTGCCCTCTCAACTGGCTCCCCAACTACCTTCTCTGCAGCCAAGTACACCAAAACTCGGCCACAAATCCAACACTGCTTCTGCCGAACCACTCATTACGGTCTCTTTTGCGGCTCCCGAACGGAAGATGCAGCTGGAGCATCAGGCGTGCCAGCCATGCTCAGCGGTCACTGCGTACCGAACTATGTGTATCGATGTAACGGCAGTGCTGTCAGTCCTGCAAAGATTCAGGTGTATTGTGGATTGTGCAAGAGGAGTGTTGATGGAGCTTTTGGTACCGACAGGTGTTATGAGTAGGGAGTGGATGCTATTGGTATGATGCGGTGTGAAGCTGATTTTCTGAAGATGGTAGTGGTCTCCAGTCTCTGACTCCTCATTGAATATTTAGGCATGGCTTCAGGCTATCTGATGTTCAATTGATTCACGTTGAAGTCATTTGACCATTCACGTACCATGTTCCATACGAATTGAATGAGGCTTCCAAGAAGGCTGCGTCGTTCTCGTCTAGACACGTTCTTAGCAGCTTTAACAGGCATAGCAGTTTTTAAACCTGATTTTCTATCTTTCCACCACTTCCACACGTGCCATCGACAAGTGGAAAAGGAGTCAAAGGGGCTGTTGATTTTGCAGACGAACCGAAGGATTATGTGCGGTAGTAAGATTCTTACATGTGCCTACGGGTTTGCGTGACACCAGAGGGTCAGCGAGTAACGCAGCTCAGCGGGAATCGGTCGTACCTCTGTGAACGTCGTGACTATCGAGTGGAAAGGTGCGACATTGAATGCAATAGTCTGGTATTTTCGAGCTACTAGATTTATGATTCGGTACAAGAAAATATTCACAATTGCAAATGCTTGATCAACAGAACAAGAAGTTAAAAAGGAAAAATGTCATGGAATTTGCATAAGGTGCCTTCACAAAGATATGTCCTCTCCTCTAGTAAGAGTTCTTACATGATCATGCTGTCCAATCCACCAAACTGCCAGCAAACCTAAAGTGTGCGCCGTACGCCCATAGCTCATTATATCTGTTATTCATAACATCGTGAACCCGTGTTTCGTTTCAGTATCTCGAATTCGCCTTTCTAGCATGTCGAGGTCTATCATCGTATTCGTAACCGTCATGCCGTGGTCTCTCGAACTCGTGCTCATGCTGATGCCGCCTCTCGCTTCGACCTCCATGTCTAGCACTTTCGTTGCTCGAACTTCCACTGTTTGTCCGACTGTTCTTCGAACGAGAAAACCCGTGCGCATGTCGCTTACGGTAAGACCTCTCCCAATCTTCTTGCTTGCCATACGTCACTCCCTTTGGCCATAGATGATGGGCGCAGAAGAAGACTCCTAGGATCTCGACGATGTGCAGAACTGTTTTGGAACCGACCATATTTGATGAAGTGATATGGGTTTTGGATGAAGAGTCTGAATGCGTGTCTGAATTTTGCTTGTTATGAGAAGATTGATAGATAGGACTGGGCTGAAGTGGGGTAATTATATGTCGTTGGGTCATTCGGAACATGTGCTGATGGTGTAGTGAGGCTGGCAGCCTTGTGACGAAGTTACTCGAATTTTGAGGGGCAAACTTGCTGTCTGAAAGAACGTAAAGGCATCCGAGTTTCACTTGACAGGGGAGAGATTCTGATCATATATACATATAGAGTGGGCTGCGGCTCATTTCTTCACTAGTTGAAGATGGTGTCGAGCAAGGGCTGCGCCTGCCCATCAGGCATAATATCCTCGCTTGATTGGGCTCACGCCCCCCAGATTGATGTTTGCGGCAGATGCTGCACGCAAGCAATCGGGCATGGGACGGAAACGGGAATCAAGTCAAGATAAACATTGAGCGGTCTGCCCTACTGAGGGCGGTGGATCTCATTCGCTTTGTGAAAGCGTGAGGCTAGGATCATGGGTCTACACCGCCACAAAAAGTATGAGGAGGGTTGGAACAACAAAGGAAACAGTTAATACTGGGAACATCGATGTAAAACCACGCAAATCCTACAATCGATCTATGCTACTAGCATCGAGAATTTTGAGAGAAAACATGTGCTTGCAAAAGTTCGATCTACACCGTTGGGAACAAATGGGTATGATTATGTTGATCGGTGGGAAATTTCGAGATCGTCTTACCTGAGACTCGCGAAGTGGTTGTTTGATGGTGCTGGGAGGCAGCCGAGCTTGTGCAGTGCCATGTTGCAGCTGCTCTCAACTCGGTCGGATATAATGCCATTGTTTGCCAGTTCGATAGCGCCAGATGTACAGATCCGGAATCATGAGCACCCTTGCTTTCTCATGGCCGTAGCCTTGAGAAGACGTCCATAATTTCGCCCAGTTCACCACTTCGTCTGAAGGGACTATCCAACACATGTCTCCTGTTTCCCCCGGAACTGACTAGCTGAAGCTCGAGCAGACCATTCTTGGCCGCGATATAAGAGCAAGCCTACCATGGTGCTGATACTGAAATGTGATATGAAGCTGAAAGACCCTCAGGGCGAGCATCTTGGATGCATATTTGTGAAACCAACAGCAAAGATGGGCATCCGAGCAAGGAAGCAGGAGCTGGATCTGGACAGCTTCATAACTGCGACATGACTGAGGATAATACCCGAAGAAATAACTCAGCTTTGTCTATGAAGCTAGATATTTGGACAGTACCCTACTCGATTTCGAAATCTGCAGGATCATGGAATGGAATGATTGCTTGTCATCAGAATTTCCGAGGCCGGAAAATAGCATAGCGCACTTGCTGTGACATGGATGGAGACGGAAGCGATGCAACAGGTAAGGTAAGGTACCTATAGTAGGTGCAATAAATAGGCACGAGATCGAAAGCAAAGAGTGTCGGATCAAGCAGGAGCTAAACTGAGAGGGTGAGCTTCAGGAGCCTTGCCTGAGAAAATTCAGTTCTATCCGCAGATCGTCAACTCAAGAACGAGATATTCTCGTTTGACCACATGATATAACGCTATCGTAGAAGTTTGGGAGGAAAACTTTCGGGTGATGAAATACGACAGATGACAGATTCGCAAGTATTGCCTGTGCTGTTTGCTGTTGATGTTGCTGATGAACGCTCGAGGCACTACGAGTACAAGTAGAGGCTGCCCGGAGCCGTAGCCTCGGTACAAAACTTAACCTTGCTGTTGCCAAAGCTCTCAGCGCCAAGCTTGAATTTATTGGGCCTCCTACCTCAACACAATTAAACTGCACTTCTTTCTTCAATTGACGCAACTCCACGCAACTTACGGAAAATCAACAATATCCAGCTAATTCCGAAGATGGCTCCCAAAGAAGACGCCAGAGCAGCGCGAAAGCTAGGCACCAAACCTCTGCAGTCCAGCTCACCTAAAACGCAATACCTCATCCTCTACAATTTCGTGAACGCTGTGCTCTGGCTTACCGTACTCGGGCGTGTCCTTCTTCTCGTGCCACTCGTTGGATTTGGAAGAGTGTATCCGGGCGTGGGAAGATTTTGCAAATGGACACAGACGCTGGCATTATTGGAGGTGGTTCATGCTGCCGTCGGTGAGCTCCCCAGCTATCATCATTCTTTTTCAACAGTGAGCTAAGACTGGATGTTGCAGGTCTCGTCAGAGCTCCTATTGGTACAACTGCCATGCAAGTTGCTAGCCGTATTCTCCTCGTCTGGGGCGTTGTCGATACATTCCCGTTCCTGGCCAAAAGCGCTGGGTATTCCAGCATGTTGGTTGCGTGGAGCGTCACGGAGGTGGTGCGATACTCTTACTTTGTCTTCACACTGAGCGGATACTCCCCAGGCTTCATCTCATGGTTGAGATACAACTTATTCTACGTTTTGTACCCGATGGGTATCAGCAGTGAATGCTGGCTGATATACAAGGCTATTGAGCCTGCGAAGGAGATTCGCCAGGAGCTTGCGTGGCTGCTGCAGCTGATTCTCTTCGTCTATGTTCCAGGTAATTTACTAGTGCTGTTGAGAGGGCTCCACTGATGGTCGATAGGATCGTATATATTGTTCACACATATGATGGCTCAGAGACGCAAGGTAATGAAGGGAAAGCAACAGAAGGCGGAATAATTTGAAGATGCTTGAGGTGTGGCTTAGACCTGGGATAGTGGAACATTCGGAATGCTGTTGCAAAACTGTTAGGTTACCCCCTTTTCCAGCCGTCGAAGCGGCTCTTAAGATTTGCAAAACGAGAGCTTGGATTCCGAAAGTCCAGTGCCCACGGTGTTTCATAGGCCGTATGGAAACCCATGATATCTCTCTAACCACACTCGCACAGCTGGATACTGGCTTCAGATATGTGTTCTGCGATAGTCCTAAGCAAGCTAGCAGCAAGCTACTCAGAGTAACCTCGCAGCTATCAGCATTGACTGCCCATTGCCTTCTCCAGTCCAGGGGCCAGTCGCTGCATTACTAGGTATTTCGGTAGAAGGGACCATTGCTGGCATCCGAGAAATCGTCGGTGGGCAGGTGTCATTCCCACCCTTGTGGAGGTAATTTTGATTTGAATGCCCGCTCAACGTATATGGAGCCGAGTAACGTGGGTTGGAACAACGTTATGGTTCACTTACGGCAAATACATGATCCTTCCCATTTTTCTACGTTGCCTTCGAGCCGAATACTCAACCAGAAAATATTCGGCTCAACTATGAAGAAGCAGCCGTGATCCATCGCTCCCACAATTCCCCTAGTAAACTACTGCAGGGACTTCTCAGTCCTTCGCACATGCTTCGTAATAATACGGCGGGGCTATCGTCTGTTTCTTGTATGTTTTCATAGCTTCGGATTGGCGTGACGGTGGTTCTTGGGACCGAGCTGTTCGGCTAGACCGGCACCTGCATTCCTACTACTCCCTGCTGAATAGCTCTACGTCTGAGAGGAGAACAGAAGACTGGCAAAATAAGTAGCACAAGTCATGGAAAGCCCATAGCAGAAAATGTCACGCGCCACAGTGGATGTATCGTTATCGTGTCGCTACCAGACTGGAAAGTATAAGATCGCCAAGGTTATAAGATCCCGTCTAGGCCGGCTTGTCGCCAAGGTAGATCCTAGATATATCTTCATTTCAATATGTTAGCAAAACATACGTCATATCGGCAATCCAATCAAATTGCTAGGCGAGGCTGTACAATACTCATTTTCATACCAACTGAAACGTCTTCGAAAGCATGGAAGAATGCAAATCCCATGCTCATCAGCATCGGCGATCCATCTCATCCGGAAGTCGGGCTTTGGCCGGTTCGTGAGATGTAGAAGTCCAGCTAAGACTTACTAATTGCAGTCAGCTCTTTCAAGCAATTGAAGATCGCCGCCACTCCCGCTCCTGGACAGCCGGCTTAGCCACCGGTTCGTCAAGGGATATATCTCCGTGGCCACCTGCGTTACACACAACAAGCAATATGACGTCCAGCCTGCGAGGCTGATGGACGTCTAAGCAGATCGTTATTATCTCAGTAATGCTGCTCCGTAACGAGCCGGGATGGCGGCATCTGATACGGTATGATCAGGCTGCTCTTTCCCTTTGACACACAGGACTAGGGAAAGTTAAGCAACACCTGTGTTAGTGTCAGGCTCGGTCATCAGATTGCTTTTATTCTGATGTTTCGCCCAAAACACGCGATTGTATTTAACTTTGCTGTCTTCCATGTCCTTCAATCATTTCGTAACGTTGCCTGCCGCTTGAATAGCCCCTCTGCCGTTGCATCTATTTACACCACCAATACCGTACTTTGAAGTGCCCATTCCATTGATTCACTTTCCACTAATCTCACCTGGGGCTTGATACCAATACAACCAACGCAAAGTTCGAAATCAGCATGGCTGTGATCTGGGGTTTGGATTTGAAGGAGATGCAGTGGGGTAAATTCAAGGGCTCCTACATGTTCAACAAAGTCTACCACCTGCGAAGAGCGAAAATGATCGTCTACCAAATCGCCATGATTCTTTGCGTATGCTCAGAATCAGTAGGGACAGCGGCATTGTCGGGTATGTTAAGACGGCTATTGAAGATTAAGCCGTACATTTGCTAACTGGTTCCTACTTCAGATTATGTTGATCAACAAGATGGCATCTCAACTCGTAGTGGCGGTCGAGCGATGGTTCACAATAATGACATTATTGGTATCTTTAGTTACAACATCTTTGTTGGCATCGCGGTAGCTACGATTTTCGGCTCAGGATTCTTCTTCGACCTCTTTTGGCCCGAACGACGTGAAAGTCCCTCCGTCAAATTGGCATGGAAAATCTGTTCTGTGGTGGTGACATTCATGGCTTTAGCCGATGCCTTAGCATTGACAGTGAGTAAGAGTCTAAGATATAGAGTGACCAGTGCTTATTGATTCCAGGTCATCATTGCAACCCACAGCGCTCATATCTCAGGTGTATCACCTGAAGAAGCTGCATACTGGTTCCGCTCCAACCCAAAGCCGAACAGAGTGTATCGACACTACTCGTATAATATTGGATCTGTAGTCCTCTTGTGGCCGGGAGTTATTGCATCATTTGTAAGGTAAGTCGTAAATAGCAGAACTGCGTACAAGGTATGATATTCAGTATACTAACCCATTCAGTACTTATATAATGTGGAAATCACTTCAACACAACGATATACACGGACCCAAAGCAGCTGCCTACAGAACAAAAAAGCCGACGGGTGAAAAGGCTTGGATCGATGGCCCACAAAAAGCTCCAAGCCCAGTAAACAATGGCGCGACAGATGCTACTCCAGCACCAGATTCTTCATAACCTTCGAACACCCAACCATACCCTGGCACATAAGTATTGTTGCAAGGCGTTTAAGGAGTTTCTTGACTTGATCAAGAAACATTATTAAGCGTTTAGGAGCGAAGACAGGACTGTACAATACCCATTGTCTAGTTTGTATTGGCTATTTTCACGATACCCAGATTGCAAATGCGAATATCTCACAACTCTAAAACTCTCCAACCACAAGGGCATCTTTCCCAATCAAGCGTAAGGATTTTAGAAGGCTATTATGATATGTACGTCAGCGCTAACTGGCCACCCCTCCCTAAGTTCCCCGCTTCAGTGCATGATACTTCGCCGGTGACTCGACCGTTCACCTGTAGACTTTCCTATGCCGAAGAGCTTCAGCAAATGCTAATATGCTATGCCGAGAAACAAATATAACTGACAGCCGCTCCGAGTTTGATGGGAAGAATAATCATTCATTTCTAAAACATCAGGTTACCTTTCGGTTAATAACCAAAATCTCCATACCTACTCCCCATTCACCATGCCTCCCTCAACCAAAACCTACAAAATCACTCCCGCACCACCCTCCTCCATCCCAACCCTCGCGCACATATCCCATGCAGCATTCAAAACCGATACCCACACCCAACTAAAAGAACTCTGCAAACCTAGCCCCAAACCTCAGTCCGGAACCAGTAGCCATGCCGCATCCATGGCCTCAGCCCTCTCATCCTGGAAATCCAGTTCAAAAGGAAAAATCGTCGTCTTGCAAGCCGTACAAGAAGAGAGTGGAGAGATTGTAGGCTGGGCTGCATGGGCGGGTAAAGGTGTTGACCTTGTTGGGAAGGTGAGGATGCGAATGAGAATCGAGAAGACACGGATGAGAATCGGAAGGCAGAGAGTGAAGTCGAGGGCGAGGGAGAGCATGTCGAAGAAGAAACCGAGGTGGCAAAGCCCTCACCCCAAATCCTCGCCCTCGAAACCCTCACAGATAACACCATGAGCTTCTGGGCATCACATTTCTCTACCCCATATCCCTCTTCCAAACCCCCAGCAAGTTCCTCTGCACCGCCCCAACCTCCATCCCATCTAATACTCATTGCCCTCACGATCCACCCCCTCCACCAAGGCCAGGGCCTCGGCGCCATCCTCATAAACTGGGGGACACGCATCGCTGATAGGCACGGTGTATTCTGCTGGGTTAGCTCATCTGATGGCGGGTATCCTGTTTTTGAGAAAGCTGGGTTCAGGGAAGTGGGGAGGTTGGCGGTGGATCTGAATGAGTTTGCCATTGGGGTCGATGGGCGAAGAGTGCCGAATCCGGACAGTGGGAAGGGCAAGGGGGGATGGGGAATATATACGTGGAGGTGGATGAAGAGGGATGCTGTTATGAGGTGACGTGAGGTAGGATTGGGGTTGGGGATGGGGAATAAGGTGAGCTTGTTCAGCAAAGGACAGGGAATGCGAACTGAATCTCGCTTGACAACATATGGAAGGGGTCCTAGGAGCCAAGCGAGGATGGTTCGCTTGTCAGTCAACAAAAAGAATAAGCAGAGAATGCTGAGTAACTGCTGTTGATTGGTATAGAAATGTCTTTCTACCAAAATTTCAGCAAGTTGTCGCTTATCAGTCAGTTATGCAGTCCGTTTGGTCCAGCGTAAGCAACGCCAGCCCAAATTCGACAACCAGGTCGTCCGTCAGCAATGCCCTTCACACCATGCAAATGAACCTCCTTTCCCGTAGGTTCATTGCAGTTGATCCTAACACCAATATAGAGATGTATACATGAAACAATACCCGGCCGTGAGCCAAACCAAAATCCGTCGCTATGCATTTGAGCAAAATAAGTCCCCGGGGTATACGCCGTAGCATATCAATTACAAATAAAAGCTACTCGGGAGTAACGCCGGAAGCATTGTCCCCTTTCCTTGTCGTTCTCATTAGCATTACGTTTCAACTCTCATGAGTCTTCTTCTTCGATAATGACACGGTCTTCGCTATCTGGCAGAAGTCTCCGAGCACCACGTTGGGAAGCAGGAATGCCATCACGAGAAGCACCAAAGTCAAGAACCTACAACACACACTTAGCTACATACTCACTGGGTGATTGCGGGCCCACTAACCTCAACATATGTCAAATTGTCCCGCTGGACTGCAGCTACACATCTTCGTTCGTCGAATTTGACTTGCCAAACCCCACTGAGATCGGTCAAAAGGTCCTTGATGCATTCGCCAGTCTTAATGTTCCACAGCTTCAGAGTTCTGTCAGATCCGGATATAACTTTCTGGCCATCATGTTGAAAGCATGTAATTGCACCAGTGTGGGCGCTGAGTGTGCTCTTGCATTGTCCACTCTCAGGATCCCAGATTCTGAGAGTTGAGTCGGCTGCAGCAGACACAAGTCGTTCATCTCGAAGATCCAGCAAACCTACCAGAGAAGTATGACCTTCCAGTGTGAAAAGACACGCACCAGTGTCTAGAGACCAAATCTTGACAAAGGTGTCCATGGAGCCACTGATACAACGATTTCTCTGGTGGTCAAGTACAACACTGTAGACTTTCATGGCATGTCCTTGAAGACGATGAACTGTTTCTCCGGTAGAGATCTTCCAAACTCGGACAGTATTGTCATAGCTGCCACTGACAAGTGTATCTTGATGAGCAGCGATGGCGCGCACCGAGTGAAGGTGGCCAGTCAAGGTACGAACAAAGTAAGGGCAGTCGGCATCATTGGCTGGAGGTCCGGTTTGGATGTATCGCTTCGATCCTTGCTCAGGCAGCCTCCATACCCGGAGCTGGGAGTCGCGAGAGCCTGTGATGATAAGTGGCTTTTCGGGAACCATGAGCGGTCTACCATTATCCAACTTTCCTGTCATTTCAGGCATGAGAATCTGCAGGCAACGAACTGTGGAGGTATGTCCATGGAATACTTGGGTACAGAGACCCTTCTCTATATCCCAGACTCGAACAGATCGGTCTGTAGATCCAGAAACGAGAACGTTTCCTTCGTATTGCAGTGCCCAGACGCCTCCTTCGTGGCCAGCAAGCTTCTTTCTCAAAACTCCAGTCTTAGTGTCATAAACATGGATAAGTGTATCATCAGAGCCTGTTAAGATCTTGTCATCATCGAACTGGAGACAGGTAATGACATGTGCGGGATGAGCTGGAAATGCAAAATGATGAGGCGCAACTTTGCCATTCATCCAGCTGTTCTGCAGCATGTAATGGCGGCGGTACAGCGATTTGAACAGGTGCAATTTCCGGAGTCCTGGTAAGCTCGATTCTGGATCTGGGACTGCCAAAGCAGCAGCACTGGCAGCACTGATCGGGCCTTCTGATTTGTGGAACTTGGCTGATTGGGGGTATTTCGCTAGCATTCCATGAGCCTTGTCAGCGAACTCATGGCTGATTGCTCTGCGTTTCGATCGGTCGAGACCTGATCCTCCTGTTGCCCGCTTTCTCTTCGTAGCGGAGCGACCCTTCCGAACCGGGCCAGCCTCGACTTTGACGGTAGGAGCGTTGGCATATTCTCCATCTGGAGATCGCTCAACGCTCAAGTCCTGCTCAAAGCCATCTGGGCCAACGGGATCCTGCCATCCCCAACCTTGTTGAATAGCTCTATCAAGCTCCCCAGCAGGTAAAAGAAAACCATCATGGTCGAATAGTTCCTTCCAGCCAGTTTCGTTGGTATCGATAATGTCTCTCCAGCGTTTCGATACTTGAGCTGCTCGGCATAGATCCCTGTGGTTCAGGAAGCTAAGAACATGGAGACTCAATTCCATCGGGAGTTGGTCCAAAAAATCGCACTTTAATGCGGGATTAACAACGTCGGCAATCATATGAAGGGTCTTCCTGGAGCACCGTCGGAGCAGTTGGTACATCATCAGAGATTGCATCTCGGGAGGCATAGCATCAAAGGTATGGAGCATTGAGTGTGTATCCATGACTGAGGGTGTATGCGCCTCTCGGACATCAGAGAGCTCGCCCGCGTCAGGTCGGAAAACGGAAAGAGCCTGAGAATTCGTAAGACACAATATTTCATCCTCATTAACTTCTTGGCTGTCTCCAGATTGTGTTCCAGGACTTGCAGCAACTTCGTCATCTTCGGCTGATCCAGCGCCAGGAAATGGATCTTGGTGTAGTTCAGCAGAAGCAAACGTTGGTGAAAGTCCAGGGCTCGGTAGGCTTGCATTTTGAGCTGCTGCTGTATTCAAAGTTGGTCGTGCAGATCCTTGATTGAAGGTGGCATTGGCACCCTCAACAGGTTCAAGGTCGGACTCGGCAATAGGAGGCGTAGCAACTGCATTGGCAAATGATTCTTGGTCTAATGCTTCAGATGGGCTTGGTACATCATCGAAAGAGTCATTCTGACTCAGTCCAGACTGTGGAGTGTATGTGTTTTCAAAAAAGGGGGGTTGAGTGCGATCTGTGGAAACGTCGTGTTCGGATATATCAGGTGTGGCAGGAAATGCAGGATCTCCAGATATTTGCATACCTAGTCCATGGTTATGTCGACGACGTCCTCCGTTGGGCATATCGAGATCGGACCCTGCTGCCTTTTTAGCATCCTTGTTATGAGATCTATGTATCCCGCCCATCGACATTGGGGAATCGGGAAGCATTTCTCGCAGGCGGCTAGTCGATCTTTTCTGCAACGCTGAAGCCAATTCCTGGTTGAGTCGGTCGGCACGTCTGGAATTTCGTTGAGAACCTCCCTTCTCAACTGAAGAGCCCTTGTATGGTCGGCCGTTAGAATAATTGTTCAATTCGTTCATGGTGTTAGTGTGCGGGCGAGTAGAAATCTGAAGGTCCTACAGCAAACAATTAGCATGTAATCTTTGTGCTAGTAAGGTGGATGTTGGGATTCTGACCTCATGGACTTTATCTACCTGGTCCGGAGTTGCTTCTCTTCCAATCTCGTATGAGAACTTCATAAGCTCTGCTGGAGGAGGCTTCATTGCAAGGGGATACTCCTTGGCGTTAAGCTGCTCAAGCGATTGTTGTTGGATTAGGAGAGGCGGATATGATCGTTTCGTGGTCGTGGTTGTCGTCACTGTTTTAGTCTCCACACACTCAGCTAGCTCTATCTGTAGTCTTGAAGTCCGACGAGAGACTATGTCATCTCCTTCTATCCAACCGACCGAGACTGTTTGACTCCGCAGACGAGACGGTTGGCCATCTGCAGGGCTTTGAAGGTGTCTGGGATTCGAGGGCAAGGGACTCGGAGAGCCATCTGATCCGAAGTTCTGCTGTGGTGCCATGGTGCTAGTCTGCGCAGAGGCACGACGCTTGGGAAACGAACGTGTCGGAGGATCCATGACTTTGGTTGTGTTATGACGGATCGACGTGGTAGGATTTCGAGATAGGTTCAGAAGGTCGAGTTGATGTATTGCCTGCCCCTCTCCTTTCGTGCAGCAGGACGCGTCTACACGAGACCACGAACGCGTTGAAAGCTCACAGCTATTCACTTCCACCGCTATCCTAGGCTGCTATCGGACACACCATAGCCAAGTCGTGTTGACAATTAGAAGTTGTGTTGGGCAGTGCGGGGGCGGTTTTCTATCGTAGGCGGGTAGGCCGAATACTGCCGGATATCGAAGCAAAGGAGACTTTCACTGTGGGCTGCGATCGTCGAGAAAAATCGTGGGAACTAGAAAAGCAAAGCTCGAAGAAACAGAACAAATCTTGGAAGTAGAAGTCGCCTGCGAAAGGGTGGCCGGGTCGGGTCGTGTCGTCACGTCAAGGGTGAGTAATGGGAAAGGGAGGGAGGTGGGCGTGGAGAAGTTGACGACGGGGATGCTCGATGGATCGAAGTCAGCCTCTCTCGTCTCCTCGCCCTCTCCTCTCCAGTTCCAGTCCAGTCCAGTCCTCTCGGTCGTCCTCGCCTCGCCTCGCCTCGCTTCGCTTGGCTGCGTTGCCTGTCCCTCCCCTCTCCTCTCCCTCTCCTCTCCCTCTCCTCTCCCTCTCCTCTCCCTCTCCTCTCCCTCTCCGTCTCCGTCTCCGTCTCCGTCTCCCTCCCTCTCGCTCTCTGCCTCTCTCTTTCCTGCCCTGCCTCCTGCCTCCTGCCCCGCCTGCCTCCCTGCCACCAACCAGGGCACTCGCCGCTCGCTACGCCCCCGCCTGCCGTTCCCGAAGCTGTGCCGCTCCTTACGCTCACTCGGCCTCATTAATATAATATTTCTGCACTGCAGTGCATAGCACTTCGGTCCGCCCGCGCGAGAGAAAAAGTATAATATCTTACTCACTCTCTATCGCCATGCAGTTCAGTGCAGTGCAGTGCAGCAGCGTAGTACAGTCTTACGAATACATGCATGCCTAGAGTAGGGAGGTAATTCTACCCACATATATTCCGGTAAGGGCAAGGGTAAGGGTAAGGGAAGCCGAAGACTATGTGTCGTTTGATTCTTTTTACCTGTTGCTTCAACCCTCCCTCCTCGCGTGCTCGATACCGCCTCCTCCCTCCCTCAGCCTTCCCCTGAAACACGGAGACCTCAACTGTCTGGATTCCAACGTGCACTGGATATCGCTTGTTCCGCTTGTTTAGTATACAAGGCTCGCAGAAGTTTATGACGCTTTACCTCCGACGACGAGACAACTTCTCAGGACACAATGACTAGTTCTTTCCCAGTCGCTTCAGCCCTTGGTTGCCACTGAGCGGCGAACTTTCGCTCCACTCTTGGCATGCCTTACCCTTTGAGGTACAGAAGTACAAACTTTTATCACATCGTTAAGTACTAGTACCTCGGGTATATGACAAAAACAAGTTCTGGAGCCTCGAATGTCAAAACTTTTCAGCGGTCTAGCTTAGACAGAAGTCAAGAGTGGCCTATTCTTGCTTCTGTAATTTCCGCTTGTATTCTTATTCTCAACTTCCTTAGAGCGAATTCTGTTGCTGCTTGACCATCCATTTGTTTGCGATATCTTATAGGTTTGCTCCAGGACTCCGCTCGTCAAACAAGCCATCTCAAAATTATAGCATTGGTTGTTGCTTGGACGTTTCTCCGAGGTCACGGTATGCTGATCGGAAATATCTCATTTTCATTTATCTCAGATAGAACGCCTCGCTTGCCTTCTCTACGTGGACTCCCGATCTAACTGCTTTAGGCTGCTTAGTCAGTGCGTCCACGATTGAAAGGCTACGAAGCGTCTGAGGGAAAATAGTGCCGATTTATATAGAGATTAATTTCGAGCTGACTTTAATTCTTTAGTTACTTTCTAATAACTTAATATATAACTATTTAAATAACTTCGGGTATATTATAAATAGTAGGTAATCTATTTATCTATCGATTAATTTTTTTTTATTTGTATTAATTTCTTTAATAATAAAGTACACGTGCTAACATCAGTAAAAAATTCTGACGCCGGGTGCACGTGCCACCCGCTATTTTCGCTGTTTTCGCCGAATAGTCGCTTTTTACGCTTAAGGCGCCTTAAAATATAAGAGGCTATCGTACGTCGGCCTTAAATAATAAAAGGCCGCCTTATACGCTCTAGGCGCCCTTTATAAGACCCACTTTTATATATAAGCTAGACCTAATTAGGAAAGATATAATATTTTTAATTAGAATTAAAAATTAAAAGTTAAGTTTATTTTTAGATTTTAAACTAACTAAAAACAGTTAGACTAGCGTGGATTTTAACTGAGAATTTAAAAAGACCTGCACTTTCTACGCACGTCCTTAAAATTAGTCTCGCTAAGCCTTTAACGCTATAAATATCCACGCTAAAAAATCGCTAATAAGCTTATAATTCGATTCGGGTAAATTCTATGCAAGGGTGAGTCGCCGCCTTGCCTAATCGGGCGATATAAGCCTAATAATACCCCCTTATAAGGTATACCTTTATAAGTACCTTTAATATCCTTAGGATTAGTATTATTAAGCTTTCTAAGCTTACTAATATATCTTATATAATAAATAAAAAATCGGACCTACTTTTATTTTATACGCTAGTCCTAATTAGGCTTATAAGCACCTATAGCGCCTTGGTCGCCTTAGGCGCCTACGTCGTCAATTTAAATTACTATATATAGCTATAGGGGTCGCTAGCTGTTAAATTAATCGATATGCAACTTAGGCTGAAATAGCGAAAATAGCGCTTACAGCGGTCAGCCGGCGGCTACCTGGAGCCAGATCTTTTTGCTGATGAAGACTAAGGTATTGATTTCTTACTCGCACTTAGTAAAAGTTCAACTGGAAACGTCTTTATTATTTTATAACTATAACTCTTATTAATAAATAGTAAACTATCTATCTATAAGAGACCTAATTAGAATAATCTCACGTTTATAGATTAGAAATCTGTTAAGTGTGTATTTCAAAACGAAAGGTTAGGTGATATTTCTAAAAGAAAACTATTAATTTAACTAGAAACCTCTTTATTACTTTACAACTATAATACTTATTAATAAGCTATAAAGTAGGTATTTATAAGAAACCTAATTAGAACGATTTCACGTCTACAGATTAAAAATCTGTCGGGTGCGTATTAAACAGTTTAAAAGTAGGGTGTAATAGCACGGTTTAGCGTTAGCTAGCACGTGAGTGAAATAACTACGGATCAGGTGATAACCTCTCTATTAGCGCGAATATCAAGCTAAGGAGCCTTCGATTCCGTGGAGGGCGCTTAAGCCTATATAGACAAATTCCCCGGGCTATTCTCGATTAGGCCTAATTACACTTGATGTAAAACTTGACGTAAACTCCTATAGTACTATAGAGCTATTTCCCTTTGCGTATAACTAAGTGAGTAACTATCGGTAAACCCCTTTAGAGTTAACCGAGCTCTACCGAGTCTTACCGAGCTTTACTAAGCTCTAGACTCTTCCTAATCGGGTATAGTAAAGAAGTGGTTACCACTACCTTTATATCACCCCCCTCTTTGAAAAAATCGAGTTATAAGCCTAAAAGCGTAATAAAATAATTAAAAAAAAATAAAGTAGAAGTGATTATACATTTATTAGTATTATACTAGTAAATAAATAATACGTATATATTAATATATATTAAAATCTAAGGTTTAGTTTAAAGGTGTTTAAAAAGTATCTTATAAAGAGTATTTATAAGTTAGAATATATACTACCTTCCGAATAACCCTCGGTTCGTATCCGAAAAAGGTCTATCTCTTAACTAAGATTACCTGTACTCTTAATTTCCTCTTATATCTTTATAGTAAAAGTCTATAGACTAATACTAGTAAAACTTCTTTTAGAAATAAAAGGTTTCTAATAACTATAAAAGAAATAAAAGAGAGAATATAGATATAATAATAAGAACTAAAGATATAATAAAATAATAAATATCTAACTTATATATATTAGTAGCTAGAATATCTCTAGTTACTATCTGAAAGCACCTCTCCTATTATATAAGAATATAAATAAATCGTAATTCATAACTAAACTATATCTTAGAACATAGAGAATACGTATAAACTTATAGAGAATTAAATAATATTATTATTAAGTTAATATAAGGTTCTAAGAAGTTAGAAAGTTAATATTTTATCTAGTAGTAATTAATAATATAGAGGTAAAAGATAATAGTAATAGCTAAGCGATAATAGTAAATAATATTATATTATATCTGAATTAGGCCTGAATCGTATATATCTATCTATATAAAGATAACTTCCCTTTTAAAACCTTTTCTTTTCTCTATTAAATAATAATAATAATAATAACTATAAGTTTAGAATTAATAGTATTTACCTTAGAGATTCTTACTAACTATAAGATTTCTTTAAAAGATATTAAATAATTTAAGTAATTTAAAAGTAAGTATATCTTATTCTAAGAGCTAGCTGTAACGTTTCTAACTCGGTCGGTGTCGTGAGTACAGACTCGTCGGTTGGTATCAGCTATGAAGTAAGGTAACAAGACGCTCGATTCTCAATAGGAATTGAGACGTTACAAGCAGTGGTAAACTAGGTGTAAACTTGCTATTTGATTTGAGCACGAAGCTCTACTATCTAGGAAACTACCTACTCGTTATATAGAACTTCCGACTTCCTGTGCAAGCCGTGCAAGACGTCTTGCAGGGCGCGCAAGCCCGCAAGCCCGTCTAGCAAGCTAGCATATCACGTGACCCATGTCCACCGTGATCAACATAACTATTATTATGACAATGAGCGTGGAGTATGGTACTACTCGCTAATTCGTACCATTCTCTTGTTGGTGCTATTCTCTCAATGGTACCATCAACCCTTTGGTACTAAACACCGACTGGTGCCATCCACTTGGTAGTACCATCAGTATTATGGTGCCAACCCGTGACTTGTACTAAGACTGAGCCTGGTTCGTGACACTAGCGTAGTAGTAGAGCTTTTTACTAATACTAATTAGTACTAATTCCTTACTCCCTTAGTGCTTTTCCAGCTATATTCCGTATATAGTACTATAGATATATTAACTATTAGAAGAAAAGTAATCTAAAACTATATGAATTCTAGAGTTTTATAAGCTTAAAATACTAGTATTATACTAAGAATAAGGATAAATATAAACTTATAAGTATCCCTTAATCTAAGTCCTTTCTATAACCTCTCTAATAATAATTCTTTATAACTAACGGAAGTAGATCTTAGTATACGCGGCCCTTAAGTATTACACTTTTATTAATACCCTTACTAGTAAAAATATAGTTAACCTCCTTGAAGCTAGAACTACTTTATAAAATATTATCTCTATTACTAAAACTAATATACTAAGGGATATACTATTAGCTATAGAAGTTATATTAGTAGAGGTCTATACTATATATAATAAGATAGCTAGAATTATAGAATAGAATACTATAAGTATTTCCTTTTCCTTAACTAACTCCTCTTACTTTCCTTTATAAGATATAATCTAATACCTTATATTATAAGTAATACTTATAACGCTATAGAAGTTAGGAATTATATTAAGGAAGCGGAAGACTCTACTAAATAATCCGAGTCTATTAAAGTATTATATAAGGATAAGTACTTAGAGGACTTTTAAAAGCGATTTAAAGGAGAATTTAGCTAGTAGTTCTAATAGTTCTAGTTCTAGTAGTAGTTCTAATAATAGAAGTAGCTTAAGTACTTACTTTTCTAGCTTTACTATAATTAATTAGCTCTTTAAAGTAAAAGAGAGTAGTAATAATACTTTAGTACTTAACTTAACTTCTCTACTTTCTCTTCCTTAAGAGAAAAGAGAAACTACTAATAGTAATCTTAAAGAGAATAATATATAGAAGTAACGGTTTTTTAGCTTTATTTTAAATTAGTTTTATAGTTAGTTCTTTATAGTAGTATCTTCTTTATACTTTTATATAAAAGTAGCTCTCTATAGTGAAACTAGTAATTAGTCCCTATTAAGGTATTATTATAAGGCTACCTATTAGCGCTTTAAATTAGAGAGTAATTATCTTAAAATAAAAGTTATTCTTATTATAATATTTTACTTAATTATAAAGAAATAAATAAGTAATAAAAGAGAGTTATAAGGAAATTAATATAGGAAAAATAAGTGAATATATTAGAATACCTCTACTATAAGTCTGAATTAACTCTATTTAACTTCTTTACTTATCTCTCTACTTTTATTATTAACTAGTTAGTATTAATAAACTCTTAAAGAGCTTTATTTAGACTAGCTTTTATTATAGTATTAGCAGAGTTACTTATTCTATTAATCTATTATATCTCTATTAGTTCTTTATACTTATATAATTAACAAATTATTATAATATTAATTATTAAATGTTTCTCCTTTATAGTACTAAGTTTAATAATATATTTATAAAGAGATAGAGAATTAGTATAAACTATAGTAGGAAGCCTTAGGAGACCTAGCTTATTAGTTACTATATTAACTATAATTACTAGAGATATTAATATATTAATCCTTACTACTATAGTATATAATTCTAAAGTAAGTACTACTTAAATAACTCTCTTATACTTTATAGAACTTATATAAATTAAGTTACTAGAAAAAGAGAACCCTTAAAACTCCTTTAATTTAGTTCTAATTATTAGTATAAAACTAATCTAAGAGCTAAGATCTTTATTATTTATAAAAGATCTATTAATAAAAGCGTAGATCTTTATAGAACTTAAGTCTATAGAAATATATTATAGATCTCTTCTTAGGTTATTTATCTACTACTTAAGATATAGATTTAGAGCTTTAATATTATTAAGTATTAGATTCTAGTATTATAC